CATCAAGGAATATACCTTAAATCAAAGAGGGGCCCTACTGTAATTTGAGGTCTGTTCCTTAATTAATTCCGGGATTTTGGAAGGTCTGCGTCCATCAACATTCTGAATCCGAAACAAATCCTAGGGTGTAGGTCTAGTGTTCAGAGTGGAGGATACCTAACTTTCAGCCCCAAACCCTGAACCCTAAACACCCCAACTTGAAACCTGGGGGAACTTAGACATATTTGAATTCTTTTGTTATTCGAACCCCTAAGAAACAGCCAAAGTTGCAATTTTGGGGGGGATCTAAGTTCAGTATAGTTCAGGGCTCACCCTGAATCCTCCTCAGCGGAGCAGTGGGATAGGTAGGAAATGCAAACGCGAAGATCCTGGACCCCGAGCTGGCCCATCCCCGGGCCGTGCCGGATTATGATGTTGAATCATGTGGTTTTTCTGCGGATAGTACTGTAATATCATAGTCTTGTAGTATTCTAGTATTATGTAAGCCTTTCTTTGGATCGTATTGTAAGATCATAGTATTGTAGTGTTCTTGTATTATGTAAGCCCCTCTAGCATTCTCGTGTAACAAGAAGCTCTTTGGCTATGTAAGCTCAAAGTCTCATAGTGTCATGGTCTAGTAAGAGCTTTCTGTCAACTGCAAGCAAGTGCGCCAATTACAGGGTTTAAGGTTTAGGGTTTACGGGTTGTATAGCTATACTTGATACCATACATGGAGGTGTCATGGTAAACTGCTTTGGTGATGGCAGTATCAGTGCTCGGCCAGGCTACTTCTTGTTAGCGCAAGGCCCCAAACCCCCCAACCTCCCCCACTCCCCTCCGCCCACTCCACTTCCCAACCTGGCCCAACCTGAGGTTCAAGAACAGCGCTGTAGGCGTTTGCGATATAGCATCACGCACGATGCGCCGTGCTCTCAGTTTCTATGATGTTGGTGCCAGACAGGACATACGCGCTCGGTGCAGTTGACGCGGTGTGCTGAGGTTTCCTGTCTTCCCCAGGACATTCAGCCGGCCGCCAAGTGCTCGTAGCATGAAGCCGTTTGCATTGTCATACCCAGAGGGTCCATATATATATATATATATATATATATAGAAAAAATGTGTATATATGTATATGCGTATATATATATATATATATATATATATGACTACGATTATGGAATTAAGCCCCCCCGAGCCACAATAAGGATGGTCTTCTGGGACCTGATTCCATAAAGGCAATATATATGGACCCTCTGGGATAGCTCAGTGCTCAGAGGCTCCAGGCGGCTTAACGTGCGTGGTGTTGACACCGGGTTTAGGGTTTAGGGTTTAGACACCGAGTGTCTCTTCCAGGATGCGTTTTGCATCGGCACACGGTGCTAAGAAAGCTGGTCCCCTAAGGCTCCTAGTAGGCTTCGGGGCTTTGTGGGCGAGGGTTTGGGCTTTGGGGGCTAAGGTTAAGGATTTCACTACGAGGGTCCAGGAGCATCAGGGTGAAGAAAAAGAACGGCCATGGTGGGTGCAGAACACCTGAACCTACGACCACAACCCCAGATTCCTAAGCCGCTTAGAGGTTGGCCCAGAACGACATATATATATATATATATATACACACACATAGATGTGTGTGTGTGTGTGTGTTATTAATATACGAATATTGAATATTATATAGTAGTATATAGTATTGTTAAGTAATGTATATGTACATACATAGATTATAGTGTATACATATATACATATGTACATGCACTCTCCAAGGAGACTATCTTTGACATTGCCTTTCACAAGAAGGACATGCCGCCTTCCTCCGCACACTCCATGGGAAGCTGTGTTTCGATTTTTGACATCACATGAGCATTTTTGAGGCCGACTCTTCAATATGTGTTTAGGACGAACCAGGGCAGGACTTCGAGCTTTCATTACGGGCCTTGAAGGATGTAGAGCTTGGTACAGTAGGATTTGTTCGGGCGCTTTTGAATTCCCGAGGGCCCCAGTTACCTACATAGTAGGTTACTAGCCATGTATTCTATGCCCCAGTAACCTGCTATTTATGTAACTGGTCAGGGATTCCTGATTCAGTGAATTTTAGTGAGCATCATAGCCTCAGTGCATGGCTCGTGCTTACACTTAACGGATACACTTCACCCTTCCCCTTCCCTCATGCATCCAATCCGATTTCCCACCAAGGAGAGAGAGGCAAACAACACAACAATATCGTGAGAAGCAGAAAGAGAGAGTGTGCATGTGTGTGTGCGCGCGCATACATATGTATATGTGTATATGTGTATGTATGTGTTTGTACATATATATTTATAGATGTGTGTGTGTGTGTGTGCGCGTGAGTGTCTTTGTGTTTCTGCGTCATGGTCACGGTCACTTGCAACAGGAACGCTAGCTAGGTGCTTGCAGTGCATACACGAAACAATACAATCTATGAGTATTACATCGTCTCAAGAAGGAGTATGGATTATTGCTCAAAGCCATAAACCCAACCATCATGCCGTGCCAAAGCCTGATGTCCTGTCTTCACGTGTAGGTTTGACGGTGTATAAAGTTTATGAGTTATGGTTGTTATTATGAACCCATGGGGTGTGGACAAGTCTGGGGAAACCTACCCTTGCAGGACCGGCTGCAAAGCTCAACAACAGTCCATGCCACATATCCTAAGTGCGCAATATACTACTTTGAGGGTCTGGCTCTTAGAAATAGCTATTTCATAGACTTGTACAAGTAGTGTCATGACCCCAAGTAGGATCCTCTACAACCTCATCTGCAATCTCGATTCCTGAAGAGCAACGACCTAAACCCTAAACCCTAAGTCCCGTGCAATGGAGCCTCCCTACGCATCGCTGGCTGCCGCAGCTCTCCCGCCGGCTTGTGCATGCTTTGGGGGTTGAAGGGTTAAGGCATCTAGGGTTTAGATAGGGTTTAGGGATTTAGGGTTTAGGGTGTAGGGTTTTAAGGGCTTAGGGGTTTAAGGGTTTTGGGTTCAGGGCTTTGGCTTTTTGGGTTTGCGGTTTAGGGTTTCGACCAACTCTATAGAAACTCCTGCCGAGAGTGCAGGGACATAGTTCCTGTTTTCGGTTTAAGCATTTACATATTCAGGACCCAATGAGGTAAACCCCCAAAAGCAACTAATTCCAGGCTGTTCAGTGGTACACTTTTTACTATCAGGTTTCTGGGTTCCTATCATAGTGAGAATAAGAAGCCTCAAAAAGTAGATACTTTTTCCCAGCGGGTTACTCAACAGCCTAGAATTACAATGGAGACTACAGGGAATACTCAGTTCCCTGCGGCAGACCGGGACAGGGTCAGGAGTTCGTGACTCGTCCTTCGGTCTAGGGTAGGGCTTGTTTGCGTAGAGGAATGTAGCCCTTTATTTCAACCCTAAGGCTCAAAATGGCCCAAAATCCTTATATAATATGGTTTTCAAAAGCCTTAAATTATGAGTCCTTAGAGCCTTAGGGTAATAATTGAAATCAGGTAGTAGATGGATAGAGAGGTTTTTGCTGGAATGCTGGAATGTAAACTCCAATCTCTGGTACTGCATCAGACATTGCTGGTTGTCTGTGAGCACTACTTGGAGGTTCATCGGTAGCATAAGTGGGGTTGTAAGTCCCCTAATGTGGGTTATAAGTATAGTTACCCTTCTTAAATCCACCTATAACTACCCATGAACTTCCAATTAGTGATGCACTTGAAGAGCTTGTCGTCAAGAAGCCGGAGTTGCCTGTTCACAAGTTCTTGATTCAAGCCATCAATTTGGCAGGCTTGATTCCCAAAGCAGGTGCCTAGAACCGCTTGAGCCGTAAAGTTCGGAACCCAGCATGGTTTCTTATAGGACTTAGCACGCAAAAACTGGTGCAGCTGTATGGTCCCAGTCCGAATATCTTACCCTAAGCCTCCACGTACACCATATACTTAGGCCTTAAGAGTACCTATATCGGAAGCCTTTTAAATATGTGGGCATATGGAGGGTTAGGCTTTTGATCACGTTGAGCGTGCTAAAATCAACTCCAGAATCATGTAGCTTTCTCCATCACGACATTTGAACTGCAAAACAAGGCAGTCCTGCTAGTAGCAGTAGTAGTAGTCGTCGTCGTAGGAGCAGCAGTAGTGATTAGTATTGGTGGTAGTATCGGTAGCAGTAGTAGTAGCAGGACTGGTAATTAGTACTAGAAGTAGCAGCAGTAGTACCAGCAGCAGTAGTAGCAGTAGTAGGAGTAGCAGCAGCAGCAGCAGCAGCAGGACTTGTAGTAGTGGTGGTACGAGTAGTAGTAGCAGTAGCAGCCGTGGCAGTGAGGAGGTGAGGCTTTGGAGGTTGTGGGGTTCAGCAAGTTGGGAAGAAACATGCACGGCAAGGGCTCCAGGGGTTTGGACTCTAAGTTCCCAATTTTTTGGGATTTACCTAGACCATCCTAGACTCCCAGAGTCCTCAGAGTCCTAGACCTTATAAACTGCATGTTGATAGCCTCATGTATGGCGAAGATCCCTGATAAGAAAATCAGGTACTTCAAAGCGCTGCCATTCTTCTTGGGTTTAGACAGGTGCGTACCCAGAGGCCCAAAGTAGTTCCTTTTTGGGGTTCATATACAGAACTGTATAAGGTAATCCCAAAAAAGAACTACTTTGGGGCCTATGGGTAAGGCCTGAAGTCGATCCTTGGAGCTTTTCGCTTCAAACACAAAGCAGCTCGCTGGCATGACATCTTTGAAGCCTGAAGATAGACAAGAGAGCACCGGAAATCTAGGTACGACGAACTTGCTGATCTCCACCATGTGCAGGGCTAAACCATGAAGAACTCTTGCTTAAGAAGCTGCAGCAGCTCTATGCTGAGGGCAAACAAGCACGCAGTCCTATGTGCCAGCACTTCGCACGAGTTCAGATGGCCTGAAACCATGAATGAAAACCGCCTTCAATTCCAGGCTAGATCCTACATCCTGGTTTCAGAGGCTTTTGCAGTGCCCTTTGGGGTTTGGGCCGTCCGTTAACTTCGAAGTGCCGCTTTTGAGATTGCGGCCATGGCAGCCGAAGCCTTCTTCTTCGAAGTTCCCGACTGCCCCAAGGGGACCATTCTCAAGCGCGGCTCTTAGATTTGAGGCATCTCCAGGTTACTTTAATAAAGGTAGATGTTTAGGGTCGAGGGTCGCAGGGCTTTGGCTTTTGGGGCTAAGGGTCCCGGCTAAGGGTTGTTGGTCGAAGTATAGGGGGCCTTAACGATGAGAATAGGGTTTGGGAGTATGCTAACAATGCAGGACACTAGTGAGGAGCGTCATGGCCCTTCATTCATGGGCCCAAGCCATTCGCAGGCCTTTCCGAGCGTCAGTTGTTTCGCAACACGCAGAGCCCACCTTCGACTTACTACTTACCACCACCACCACCACGTTTAGGTACTCCCAAGCATAGAGACTCAATGGACTGGAGACATCGGCACCCAATGCCGCAGGATTGAGGGTTTTAGGTATCGGGGTTCTAGGGTTCTGGGAATTGAAGTTCGAGGTGTGGGACTTAGTAACTGGGGTTACAAAGAAGGTAACTATACTTACAATTACTTATAACCCCACTTAAGCTACTTATAACCATATACTTACTAAGCCCCACGATCCTCCAAGTACCCTGGGGAAATCTCAAGAACCCGACCTGCTTCCCTGAAGCACCACCAAATCCTCGAGCGCCCCCTAACCCTGACTCGAAGTATTCTTCCCAGTTTGGGGGTTTAAGGTCTATCGGGTTTAAGTATCCTCGCCTAGGTTGAAAGCTCCAGATGGCAAGACTCTTCAAATACCACTTCCGCAAGAAGCAGTGCCGGGGGAGCCCGGGCAAAATACGTGCGTTCAACTATTGGATCGCCCCCTTACCTTAGGTCCACGTATTTTTGGCATACCAGCGCCTATAGTGTATTTGAGCCTCTTCAAGGCCCGGGTATGGATGCTAGCTAGGCTGCTAGTCAATATAGGCGCATGGACCCTCAGAGTCACGACAGTAAGGGTCTACTGTCGCGCATTCCTTGTAGGCTTTCATTCTGATCTGAAGGAAGCTTTGCTTTAAAATCTCCTTGCTGTTGAACTAGAAGGTCCAGGCAGCGCAGATTTGCTATGTGGTTTGCTGTGGTTTGGTCTTGAAAGGATTTGCGGTGTACCGCTTTGCGGTTGTGAGGTTAAGGGCTGACGGACGAAATCGGAAGACCTTGACCTCATACCTTTATCGCCTAGTAAAGACAAGCTTGAGCCTTGACCTTGGATGGGCTGAGGGGTCAGAGTTTAGAATTGCAAAAGACCACGTCTGACTTGGAAACGTGTTCTCGAAACTCGAACAGGCAAGCCAACAAATGCTGAGGACCACATGTACCTCTCGAAGACAGAGGGAGGGTCCTGGGCATTCGACAAAATCATCCGGCACAAGTACACGAAAGGCAGGATTCCTTGACCGTCAGTGAATGAAAGGCTTTCTATCTCAGAAGTTCATGGTTTCCCAAAACGCTACAGTAAGTCCTCTACCGAAAGGGGACTCTAAACCCCCAACTTAAATTCGCCTGAACCCTGCGGCCTTTGCTAATCTTGGATTCGAGCTCTTGCCTGCCTATCTGCCCATAGCCATCGAGAAGCACTATACGACTTGGAACCGGCAAATCCCATGCAGATGATAGGGGTTTAGGGTTTCAGGGATGTGGCATCCCCCACCAAGTTGCTTCCTGCAGCGACCGAAGTGGTAGAGACTGTTCCTTTCTTTGACTGCAAAACACGATCCTTATTTACAGTGTAGTACTGACGAGGTTAAGGGTTGAGACTGATACTTTGAATCCCAAATCCGCTTTTGTTGGCAGGAGCAGAGGATGTGGCTGCAGTTGCGATGAAGACAGAGGAGGATGCTTGGCTCAGACACACTTATAGCTCAAGCCCCAGCTCGAAACTGAAGCCAAAAAAACGAAACACTGAGCATTACCTGGACCCTATAGACCTTCCTTTTTTAGGGTTACTTCTCAGGATTTCCTCATATAATGTACATAAAAAGGTGGGTTGTTTGGCATCCAGCCTAAGCACTGAAACACAACCGCAAAAGCTAGGCTTTAGAGTTTACACCGCTACAGTTTTCGCTTTGTACGTTTACCTGTCCGAAGCCCCTACGGCAGAAAACCGGTTTCACTGGTGCGAAAATGCTGCCCTGCCGAAGAACTCGGTCTTCTGGCAGAACCTTATCCATCAAGCCGAACATGAGACCTTCTACCCTAAGCCCTAAACTCTCAGCCTCAACCCTAGAACCCCAAACCCCTAAACCCTAAACCCACCTTGTAGATGTGGCTGGTTCTCAAAAATATGGTCCCTTTTCTGGGCTACCCTAAATAGTAGGTGCTGTACTATATTAGGGATCCAAAAAGGGAACCATGAAATGAGAACCACCCATGTGTCTGCATGGGCCCTTGTCTCCTAAGACCCTTAACCCTAAGCCTTAAACCCTTATAGAACCTTTAAACTAGGTGGGTACATGGACCCTCATACCTTAACCCACCTTGTAGATGTGTCTGCAATAGTCCCCTTACAGATCCCTTATAGCAACCCTCACAGACCCCTTAAAAGGACCCCTTAAACGAACCCATAGCTGGAGCCCCAAACCTTTTGGGTTGTAAGGGTGTCTGCATGAGGAAGTACAGAAAGATCTGCGTGGCCCAGAAACGGTTCAGGCCGGGACTGGTCTTTAACCCCATTCTGCAGGGTCCTAGGAAGCATTGCGGGGGATGCTCTCCCAGATCGCTAATATACCTTAACCTACCAAAACCTACAAAGAGTAGGGTCCCTATAAATTCCATATTAGGGTTGACAGTAAGAACCTACAGGAAGGTAGGGTTTGGTAGGTTAACAGGTTAAGGTAAGCAGAGACCCTACATTCTACTATATACTTAGGACCTTTTCGGACTGAGAAGCCCGCTTACATACAAAGACGGAAACACTAAACCCCGGACCTGTAATCCTAAACCTCTATAAAGCCGCATGGACCCGAGAACGCTACTGCTGTAAAGCTAACCCCTGCAGCCATAATGTACATGTGGTCTCCATTTGGTTTTCATGATCTTTAATTCCCTAAACAGAAGGTTGCCAACTATAGAATATGTAACCGAGTAACCCATTATTTAGGTGATTGAACCCCTCAGGATTAATGGGGCGTTGGGGCATTCGTTCTGGCTTCTAGGGTAACTTAGAGTTGCGGCTACAGGACTTATACCCGTTTAGGCTAGGAGACGTACTAAGTTTTCAAGCAGAGTCTTGAATGAAGTCATCCTTAACCGTCTGATCATTATACTGACTCTGTCGTACCTCTAAGGCTGCAGTTACCTAAACAGTAGGTTACTAACCATATGGGTGGTTGTCAAAATTAATGTCCCTTTTTGGGTCCCAAATATAGTACGGCACCTAATATCTAGAGTACCCAAAATGGGACCATAATTTTCGCAACTACCCATGTTGGATGCAACACAATCCCCTACTACTTACATAACTGGAGCCCTACCTAAAGTCTCGATTGTAGTTCCTTTTCGTAAACCAAAAATTGTATTACAGGATCCCAGGCATAAAACTGGTTAACCCCAAAAAGGAATTACAGTGGAAGCTATGCCCTAAGGGTGCATGTACCCAAACAATATACCCTTTGGCCTTAGAGTTGTAAAATAGATACCTTGGGGCCAATGTATATACTATTTGGGTACAGGTATATACTATTTGGGTACAGGACCCTTACACCTTAAGCCCTAAAGAATCCTTGGATGAACCCTTAAAGGACCTCCATCTGGGTCCATGGACCCTGAACCCTAAACCCCTAAACCCTAAACCGCAGGGAATGTTTCTTGATCATCGAATTTGGCGGCGCTTGAAAAGAGCCCTATAAGGGGTATAGGGCTTACCTGGACCCTAAAGAACCTATCTATTCAGGGCCCCCGAATATGCCCCCTCATATGATTTCTTTATATGAGTCCCCAACAAGGTAGGTTATTTGGGGTTAAGGTAGAGTTTAGGGGACTTATAGTTGATATACCATAGAGAGAGTCAGAGTATAAGGCTAAAGGGAACCGACTTTTACGAGTAATTTCGTGTTTCCGGGCCTGGAATACTGCATCACAACGCGCCTCGTTGTCCGTGCAACTACAGGCCACCTAACTCCTACGTAATATAAAGACCTAAGCCCAAACCCAAACAGCCTCGCTGATTCCTACTTGGAGGTTCATGTAGTGTAGTTGCAGGTGGGGTGATAAGTAGGGCAACTATATTTATGAGCCATACTACGTGATGTATAACTCCACTTATAATCAGCCAAGAACCTCCAAGCCCTAAACCCTAAACCCTAAACCCTAAACCCTAAGCCCTAAACCCTAAACCCTAAACCCTAAACCCTAAGCCCTAAACCCTAAACCCTAAACCCTATAAGCCCTAAGCCCTAAATCGGTAAGGCCTCTCTCAACTCTAGGGTTCCAGAAACCTTAAGCAACTCCTTGCTCCCCGAAGCGCCCACGAGACGACGGTTTAGGGTTTAGGGTAGGGACTTCTGGAGGTACAGCTGGATACGACGAAGGGCCCAATCCGACTGACAATTGCACCTTTGGCTGACCTTCAGCCATGAACCCCAAGGATGTTTCATAGCCCCACACCCAAACCCTAGGCCCTGCAGCATCCGAAATCCTGGAACCTGCTGAGCCTGCTGCGTTCATAGACCTCCAGCTTTGGAAGACCAAATCCAGCCGGGCTGAAAGGCTTCAAGGTTCAATCCCAGGTAGACCTCCAATGGAGATGTTGCAGCCCTTAGAGTGTCTTAGAGATTAGAGACTACAAATCCAGCTATGTGTGCACACACATGTGTGTGTATGTGCGCACAAGTATGCGTGCATGCACATATAAACTCTCCCTACACACGATGTGACGGCAACCACGTATGTGTAGCACACAAACAGCTAGATGTGAATGTATACAAGACATATGTTTAGTTATGACATATATATATACACACAGATATACACACATGTAGTTGTCTGCAGTTTCTATCTATTGGCCTTTCGTCTTCACATTGAACTGTTTCCTGTGTTATGTGCAGTGTTTTTTCGATGTGCGTTCAAGTGCTTGGTATCCTGCACTTCTGCATACATATCTGTACATTCATATATGTCAACATGCAAGTAAGCATACTGTTACACTGCCAAAACACAACTTCAAACTATAGTTCACCAGGTCTTCCGTCGGGGTGCAACATACGTATACATCCACGTGCCAGCATACGCATATACATGCAGACTTATCCTGCGTAGTACATACACATGCAAGTACTTCTACATGGAACATGCCAGAGGTAGACATCCTTACTTAGAGGCCCGAGGGACTTAGTAAGCAGGATTTTAAGTAGAGTTATCAGTACCCTAAATGGAATTACCCCAATTATAGCCCTACTTTCAACCGACTTACTTAGTCCCCTGGGCCCCCAAATAAGCCCTAAACCGTAAACCCCATAGATCCCTTTAAAGTACCCTATAGATCCCTTTAAGGAGCCCTTTGGATACTGGATACCTTTAAGGAGCCCTTTAAGAACGTGCTATGCCAAATTCTGGACTGGAAGCTGCCGATGCTGGGTACACTACCAGCGAACCTGGAAGACGAAGCCCTGTAGAGGCGACCAGCTGGTCTAGAAATATAATATATATATATATATATATATGTATTAATATGTATATGTATGTATTTATACATGTATATATATATATACACACTACACGTATCTTTTAGATGTGCATGTATACTCAGATTTACATGTATCTCCGGTCTAAACCCTAACATATGAAAGAGGTGCCATCCTGGAGCCCATTGGGCGCGCAGCGCGCTCTTGACATGGTGCGTGACGGATTCCTGCAGGCCTCAGGCTTACGGCTCATACTTAAAGGATCATGGGACTTAGTAACTGGGGTTGTAATTGGGTAATTACACTTATAACCCCAGTTAAGGTACTTATAACCTTACTTACTAAGTCCCATGATCCTCCAAGTAGGGTCTAGGGTCTAGGGTTTAGGGGTCTAGGGTTTAGGGTTTTTAGGGGTTTAGGGTTTGGGGTTTACAGGTTTAGGGTTTTGCTTTTAGGGGTTTAGGGTCTAGGGTTTTGGGTTCAGGGTCTGGGGTCTAGGGTTTGGGGGGTTTAGGGTTTAGAAAACCCGGAGGTTTATACGGCTATCATACCTGGACCCTAAGGAACCTACCTTTTTAGGGTTCCCTAATATGATTTCTTTATATAAGTCCTTAGAAAGATAGGTTACGTGGGGTGAAGGTAGGGGTTTAGAGTTCAGGTTTTAGGGCTTTTAGGGTTTTGGGTTGCGGATTCAGGCCCGAAGTTCGGCTCCGTCCGGGGCTCCTTTGAAGGGATCTATAGGGGGTACCCTTAAGGGGCTCCTTTAAGGGATCTATAGGGGGTTTAGGGTTTAGGGTTGATGATATAAGTCCTGCAGTAGCCATAAATAAGGAATGTACCATCATACCCGTAGTCTAGGGTCCTCAAGGTAAGGCGGGATTTGTAGATCATCAACCGTAGGCTTTAGGGCTTTGCTGCAGGGTTCAGAGCTCATGGTGATTCTGCAGGGCTTAGACGCTTTACATAATTTTGGGATGGGCTCAGGCTTTGGTGGTGCCCGGGCTTCTACTGTAGCGATGGGTTGAGTTGAGTCTTTCGCATGCTGTCAGCACCTTTCCAGCATCTTAGCTCGGGCAGCACGGCTGCCCACGACGCTCCAGGGTTAAATAAACAGCTGCAAGGGTACCGTGACATACATGTAAGTATGCATGCATGTATGCACGTACGCATGCATACATGTATGTATAATTGTGGGTGTGTATACGTTATCATGTATGTGCGTGCGTGTCCATATCATTTATTCGTTATATATATATATATATATATATATATATATATATATATATATATATATATATTACATGCGTGCTAACCCTCAGCCTGCGCTACATCCTTACACATTATAGACCCTACATTCGCACCCTGGACTCACAGACCTCAAACCCACTCCAACAGGATCTGGCCATCTACCGGGGTATCAAAGGCTTCCTTGTCCAGTTTGGAGTTGCATCTCGGCTCTGCTAGCCCATTTAGCTTTCAAGTTTTAGTCCTGCGTTTGGAGCACCATACTTTAATGATCTTTTTGGAGCAGTTCCTTAAAGGAACCATTATGACATTCTGAAATGAAACTCTATACTTGTTTCTCCATGGCTACTTCAAAGTCCAGTAGTACTGCGACGGCATTTGGGGGGATTGGGTCTGTCTGTTACGAGGTTGCGGGGCTTTGGGGATGGAATGAACGGCTTGAAGCTTTGTGCTTGTTTAAGTGATCTTGCTTGGACTTCTCTCAGGGAATCATATGGTTATCTTACAGTTTCAATTACTCCAGAATTTGTGGAAGTCCCAGGAGCATGCTTCTAGCCGCATATTTGACTTACAAGCCTGAAACCCTAGAGGATGCCAGGCTCCAAAATTGTGTCACTCCAGGCTTCCGCCGAAATATTCAGGCACCGAAATCAGCTGAACAGACCCTGTCTCAGAAGGCAATAGGCGGCCATAATTGGATAGAACACGCCTCAACACCAAACCCTGATGTGTAGCCCCTCGAGCCCTAAACCCTAAAGCGCCCCAAGCCGCAAACCCCGAGCTAGCTAGTGCTGGGAGTTTCAGAAAATTGGGGGTACCTTATTTTGGGGTCCCTATAATAAGGATCCTACTATTCGGGGTACTATATTAGGGTCCCCTATTTTCGGAAACCCCCTGCTTGTCTGGGGGATGCCCAGGTCGATGATGAAAAGAAGAAGGCGCCCTACACGCCCCTTCCAGACGACCCCCTTTGCGGGGTGCCATACCTTGAAGGCCCGGATTTTGTGTTTGTGTTTCCGGGATTTGGGGGTTCAGAGTTTTGGGGTTTAGGTTTTCGAGCCAGGGCTTCTGGGTGTTTTGGTTTGTTAGATGTTGACAACTGTTGATTCACTTGTTCAGCTGTAGACTCTTGTTTCGTGCAGGGGAGAGGTGTCTACAGGGTTTGGGGGTTCAGGGTTTAGATTTTAATAGCTGTGGTTGAAGCATGACAATCCTTGTGGTCGCGTTCGGACAGCTAGTTTTTTAATTAAGGCAGGAGGGTTTACGATTTAAGGTTCATCACGGCATGCGTAGGAATCACCTGTTCAGCTGGGGAGTAAACAAGAGAGAGAGAGAGAGAGAGAGAAAAATAGATATATGTTTGTAGACATACATAGACTTTGTATAGTCGCGAGTGAATGTTGGCTAGGCAGAATCGGGGTCCCTGCACTTGTGCGTTTGGTCAAACTTAAAGCTCGTAGCAATTATTGCAATACTGTTTGGGTTCAGGTACCCATGAAGTCATGCTTGCGAGCCCCACATGTGTACCGCCGCTTGAAGATTCATGCGTCTTGCTTTGCGCGCAACATGTAAGTCGAGTCTTACACACCGTTGCCAGAAGGTGAAAAGGACCCTTATGTCGAAACTAAGGCCAAGGCTCTTTCCCAATCGTAGGAGCTGTAAACCCCAAGTCCGAGACCCAAAACATCCCGAAAGCCTAGTCCGTAGTCCAAAAACGATAAGCCCTCATCGCCGGAGATATAGCGCTGTATCATTGTTGGTTGAATGCCTACCCTCTGTAACGTCGACTCCTCATTGGAGTCAAAACTGGTCGATGGTAGTAGTAAATATTAGAGTTATGTTTAGTTTTTGTTATTTCGGTTATACTTTGGTATAGTATCAAATGGTATCTAAACATCAGGGTCATGGTGTTTTGGTGCGTATCAGGTTTGCTACACTGTAGGAACCTGATTAAGAAACCTTGGGCTTGCATTAGGGTTCTTTTAGTATTTTGGGCTTATAGGCCCAGGGTTTCTTTAATCAGGTTCCTACATTAGGTAGTGTTCCGGGCTGCAGGCACAAGCTGACATCTCTCGTGTGCAGGGCATTCTCTGGGGTTTCTGAACCGGGATTACCCTAAACCCTAAACCCTTCACGTAGAGTTCCAGGAATTGGCTTCGACCATGAGCCCTACCTGGACGCCAAAAGTATTTTGAACAACAGTGTGTCGTAGGCCTTGGGCCATTAGTTTGCATACTTTTTTTGGGGGATAGGTAGAGCCTAAACCCCTAAACCCTAAACCCCCTTCCCAATAAACTAGTTGGAGGATCATAGGACAATCAGAGTTATAAGTAACTATAACTGTAGCTACCTTACTTATAACCCCAACTACTAAGTTCCATGATCCTTTAACTACTGTAGTTGTGTAGACCCCCAGAACCGGACCGGCCTCATTGGTTCAGGCACTGTCGGCTTTGCTGCCGCCGGCCCCAACACGCGAGGATGTCAGCTCTGCCTCTTCTTGGGTGCCTGAGTTGCCAAACCCTATAAACCCTAAATCCTAAATGCTGAATCCTTAAACCCTAAACCTTACTTAAAAAAACCTTAAACCCTACACCTTAAACCCTAAATCCTAAACCCTAAACCCAAGTCTATTTCGGTTGGCGCAGGCGCAGGGGTGTCGGTCAGATGCTTTGGTTTTGGCGAAGTTTAAAGGGTTCTGGGGTATACTCTGAGGCTCCTGGATGCTTTGTGAGATCCCGAACCTTAGCCCCCAAAGCCCGAACCCTCTCCCAGAAAGCCCATGGCCCCTTTCGGAGCCTTAGGGTACGGTATATATGGAGCTTTGGGATTCTTGCCGTTGGGGGGTACGTAGAAAGGTTTAGGGTTTTTAGGGTTTGTGGAATTTAATATGCTTAGGGTCCATTGTTTTAATGGGTAGTTCTCTAACTTAGGGTTCCATGACTAGGTCGCAAAAAAAACTACGGCATCCTTGTAAAACGGACCTTGAACATTATGGTAGTTTATAGAGAACTACCCGAATGGTGATGGGAATACCTCCATGGTGCTAGTTGGAGGATTTTGAATCTGTAGCAACTGCCCAGACCTTCCAAAATTCCTTAATTGAGGAATATACCTTAGATTTAAGGTATTTTCCTAAATTAAGGAATTTTGGAAGGTCTGGGCGACTCATTGCACAAGATCGGAATCCTTGATCCTAAGGCTTTACATGTAAACACAGGGGCCCGGAAACTCAGACTAGGGTGCGGAAGGGTTCCCTTTCAATTATATTTACAACCACGGAATAGTATCGCTGGCCCTATAACATGTTACAAGGCGGGTACGATTTCCGTGTTGGTGGGGCTCTGGGATTGCAGCGTGCTTGTTCAGGTTCCGAGTTAAGTTTGTGCTTTGCGTGTTCATGGTTCAGGGTTTCGGATGTAGGGCTGTCTCGGTTAGTGTTGTTGGGCTATGCATTGTGTGTACACGTGGGTTTGTTTCTGCTGCAGGCAGCTGTTGTTGGACTAGGGTTGTGCGTCAGCTTTGCTTCTGTTTTCAGGGCATATCCCTAGGCCCTGAACCTTAAACCCTGGACCCTAAACCCCCCTAAAATAAACCCCTAGACCAAAGGCCCTAAATCCCTGAACCCGAAGCCCTAATCTTAAACCCTATAACCCCTAAACCCGAAGCCCGATAAAGCCGCTAAGAGCTGCTCCGAGACTGACGGAGAGCAGCTGAGGTGCCGCCCCCTCCCTTGGGCGCAACTCTGCAGCTCCGTCGTGATAGCGGTCTGGGTGTTGGGTGTGGTTTTGGATGTAGGAACCCGATCAACGAAACCCTGGGCCTATAACCCAAAAACAGTAGGATTCATGCAAGGAACCCGAATAAAGGCCCAAGGTTTCTTGATCAGTTCTTACATTAGGGTTCAATAGGGTTTAGGGTTTGTAGGGACTGTGGTTCGAGGGTTTAGGGTTCAATGGCATTTGTCCCGGGGTTGGAAGCTCCTGGAGTTTTGATTCAGGTTTCGGGCTTCACGGTATGAAGTCTACCTAGAGTCTCCATTGTAGTTCCTTTTTTTGGTTAACCAAAATCTCCGTTTTAGGATCCTAACCATAAAACTGGTTAACCAAAAAAGGAACTACAATGGAGACTATAGGTAGGGTCTGCCAGACTCAGATTATTGAGTACTGCACTCATGCCCCGCGATGCCCCTGCAGTCCACACCGTCAGCCATGCAAGTCAAGTCCGATCCCGCCCCCAAAGGGTCCTTTGTACTGTTATGGGGGCTACTTCCCCCAAATCATAATAGCAATTCCTAATATAGAAACCCTACATTCTACCATACAGGTACTTTGGACCCTTTGAGGCCCTCAGTGCTTAGGTGGAGACGCCCATTGGTCGCGTCTTACCAGAGAGCATGGAGACTCTCCATTCACTGCTTCTTGGGCGTCATTGAAGAAGCCTCGTCCCAAAGCGCAGGGGCTCCTAAGACCCTTAGCCTAAGATACCAAGCAGGAGCCCGAACAGTTGCTAATAGTGATCGGGCTCCTTGTTAAAATTTATGCTAGACTATACGCCCAAAGCACGGTCCTAATGATTGTGGCTTCTAGATTTGGACCTTTTTGATTCCCGAAGTTTGGTTGGCTGATTCAAACTGCAGAAATGGGAGTTCCCGAAAAGAGGGGCCCCCAATTCAATACAGAGTACCCTTAAATAGTAGGATCCTTATGTAAAAGGACCCCCAAAGAAGGTACCCCTTGGTTTCGGAAAGTCCCAAATCCTTGTAAAGCAATGGCTGTCAAGAGCCGGATGCTTCGAGGCCCTAATGGATCCTACCGTAAGGGCCCATGCACCCTAGAGCCGCTTGGGGCTCCTTTAAGGGTTCTATAAGGGTACCATAAGGGGCATCTAGGATTCTAGGGTTTATTATAGGGTATCAGGGTCCACGTGCCCAAATAATGTACACTTCGGCCTCAAAGTAGTCGCCAGATATAGGCACTGCGGGACCAACCTTTCTACGTATTTGGGCACATGGACGCAGAGGGCTACTGGTCATTGCCTTGAGTAGCACAACCCTGAGCCCTAAACCCCAAATCCCAAAACCCCGAAACCTCTACTTGGACGAAACCTCTACTTGGAGGGGCAGGGGACTTAGTAAGTAGTGTTATACTTGGGGTAACTCCATTTAGGGTACTTTTAACCTACTTACTAAGTCCCCTGCCCTTGCAACTAGACCCTAAACCCTAAACCCACAGATCCCTTTAAGGAACCCTATAGATCCCTTTGGGGAGCCCTTTAAGAGCCCTTACGGAGTGAACCTTTCAGCCCCAGCTCTTCTAGGCCCGAGGCTCCTTACACCTCCGCATTTCAGCTTTAGCCTGCCACGAAGAGCTACCTGGCCCTAAGGGTCCATGTACCCATATAGCATATACATTGGCCTTAAAGTACTCCCTATATAGCATGGACCCTTAGGGTGGACCCCAAAAGCATGTAGGATAATAACCTTTTTATGGGTTTTGGGCCATGATGTTGCCTACTTTGGGGGTCTACGTAAGACTGTAGTATTGAAGGTACCATAACAACCTGCAGTTATGTAATCATAAACCGTTACATTCTATGTTCCCAAAACCCCCAGAAGCGAGTTGCAGCGGCTGAGGTTTTTGCCGGGAGACATCCCTCAGTGTGGCGGACCGACCACGGTTTTCTTGTTTAGGTATTAGGGATGTCACCGGTTTAGGATTTAGGGTTTAGCAGGGCCCCCAAACAAGCACATAAGCAAAAATAAGGATAGGGATTTCCCATATAAACCCCTTATGCAATGAAGCCCAATAAGGTAGGGATCTCCCCATAAAATGCTTATGCTTATGTGCTTTTGGGTCCCTATTTAGGGATGTCACAGGGTGGGCCATACGTCATGGGGTTTGAGGTGCCGGGGTTAGTTGGTTTCAGGGTTTAGGGGTTTGGGGGTTCCGGTTCTGAGGGTTTGAGGTGTCTTCATGTTGTATATTGAGGATTATGGCTATATATAGTTATTGACTGATTTCTTTTTCGGTGCCCTTCTATTATAACGTTCATCGAAGTTGATTCCGTTCGGGGTTCTACTGGAGCTTCTTTTCCAAATTTTGGAACTTCCGAATCGAGAGTTCAGGTAGTTATAGCATCGGACGGCTTTGGCTTTGCCCTTCCACCCCGCTGCCCACACCCAGACCACTATCAATCCCAAGCCCGAAAACGAAAGCTAAGATTTGTTGCTTTTATTTAGGGTGTGACAGCTTCACGGGACATAGCCGCCGAGCTAAGCATCTTACAGCCCCCGAACCGATTTAGGGCTAGATCACCGCCCAGCTGCAGGAAAAGGGCCCGATCCGCACAAGCTTGCAGAGTCGGGCAACGCACCTGAGCAGTACTTGAGACAACATAGTATAGGGGCCTTAATAATTACTAATACTATTTTGTGGGGCTCCTTGTGATATTTATAGCATAGTGGGCCCCAATGCCCTATTCTGACTATTAAGGGCCCTGTATTAAAGATCAGAGACTGCTTCCGAGTCTGGGGTTCAGGAGTGTAGGGCCATTGGTTCAACGACTACGGGAGCGGGGTCACGAAGTGTGGGGATAAAAAATTCTTCAATACAGCCCAACACCCTCTTCACATTTTGAGGTTCCTTTGCCATAGAACCCTTGTAGCACACCTTCCTAAGCCTTTCAAGGACCCCTTCAAAGGGGCAGTGTTCTAGTTATCGAGGTCCCCACATGGGAGTTTCCGAAAATAGGGGACCCTGATACAGTACCTTAAATAGTAGGATCCTTATTGTAAGGACACCTTAAAAAGGTACACTAATTTTCGGAAACTCCAACATTCGTGCGTCTCGCAGACCCTGGGTTCCCCTGGCACGTGATGTTTGTGGATCCACTATAGCTTAAGACACACGGTTGATGATATAAATCCTGCATTGCCTTAAGGATCCTAAACTATGGGAATAATGGTATATTCCCTATTATGGGTCATGCAGGATTTATATCATCAACCGCATCTTTTCTAATTAAGGGATTTTGGAGGGTCTGGGTTCTGTGTGGATCTTCCTGGACTCGACAGTTTGGGGTGGTAGCCACCGCTTTTATCATAGGATCTTTGGTGCGTTCCCCCTCGGGGAGCCCCCCAAAGTTTAGGGTTTTGGGTTTATGGTTTAGGGCTTCGGGTTTAGGGTTTCGGGATAATGTCGTATACAACAAGGGGTCTTATTGAGAGGTTGTGTTGTTCCTACATAAACTAATCTTAAAGTGCAAGACCTCGCAAACCCCAATGGAACCAAAACCTTGATTCAGGCCTGCTTCACCCTAGTAGGCCCCAGGATGCCTTAATAAGCCCCAATAAGCCCTGCTAAGCTTCAAGAAGCTTCAGTAAGCCTCAACAGGCCTCAATACGCGTCTCCGCCCTCTTATTTTGGGTCCAAGGAGCTACGCTTCAATAAGCCTCAGTAGGTTAGCTGCTGTTCAAGTGGCTCTAGACTAGATAGACTCTAGCCACCGCGACAGCAGATTTCCACCAGATCTCGCAGCGTCAGCCTGAGCGATGTGTTGAATCTGAGCCATATAGATCCATATTTTCTACTCCAAAACAGCACATGCCCTATTAAGACTTATGAGGGCTTATTAACCCTTAATACAACGTAAGAGCGCTGAATAGCCCTTAATAGCTCTTAACCGCTCTAAACCCATTTTCTCTAGAGCAGAATTGCTTTGTGGGGGAGGGGGCTCCCCGAGGGAGGATTCTCCAAGGACCCTATGATTTTATTATGGTCATATATTCAAAAGCTAGAAAAGTGGCTGGTTTTATGGTTGTGGAATTGCTTTTAATGGGTCATATGCTGCAAAGGTTAGCTTTACCAGGTTGTGCTTTGGAGAGCCACCCCTCAACTCCCCCTTCAAGGGATATTGGAGCCTCTTAGTATTGCCAGCAACTGCAGGCTTACATCCAGGACAACTTTCCCGAGTGTGACTTCGTCACGGGGGCCTCTGTGATCTGAGCGGGACTGCAAGGCAGTCACTCGTTGCATTCTGGAGACATAGTAGCTTTGTAGTACAACCTCAGGTTTTGGCTGAAGCAGTCGTATCTTCAAAAGTTTGTTCGGGGGGGAGAGGGGTACTCCAACGGGGTTAGGTGCTAAGGAACATTAGGGAACTCTGAAAAGACCTTAGGAAGCACTTGGGTGATTTGGGGGTTCTTCTGGCAGGCTGTTAGGACTAACTTTTCGGGTTTCTATATGAACCAAAATAAGGAGGCGAAAAGTCTAGCTTTTAGGAGGGGTTCAGAAGTCAGCCAAGAATCCTTATAGATCCCTTTAAAGGAACCATAAGGAACCCCTATAGATCTCTAGGAACCCTAAGCATATGAAGGATCCCAGACTGTAGTGGTCATGCAAATCAAATCGGATCCTGGGACCTCATACCAGAGCAAGAGCAACCTGTTTGCACCCACACCCCTTAATTCCCTAAGGGTCCATGTACCCATACAGAGGTACATGAGCCCCAATGTACCTATATAGGGACTACATTAAGGTCAATGTATATACTATATGAGTACATGGACCCTCAGGGATTAAGGAATATAGTAGGGTTTAGCGTTTAGGGAATAGGGTCTAGGATAAGGGTTTGACGAGATTTGGTTTCAGATCTCGAGCCGCTGCGGTGGTTTTGCTATCCGAGCATGGCCTTTTGTCTCGATGTTGGTTGCTTCTGCCTGGCATACTGCAAGGACAGTGGCATGGCTGAGTCTTCCGAGTTCACCATTATTCCACAGCAAAACAGAACCGTTAACAAATCCGCTCCGAATGCAGTCGCAAATTAGACTGAGAAGGGCCGTGGTGTCGCAGTATATGCCTGCGGCACTGACCGATGTCCTGATCAGGTACTACTTGGAAGGGCAGGGGACTTAGTAAGTAGGTTGTAAGTAGAGTTATAAGTACCCTAAATGGAGTTACCCCAATTATAACCCTACTTATAACCTGCTTACTAAGTCCCCTGCCCCTCCAAGTAAGTAGTGGTCCGGGCTGTACCAGCAGCAGGAGCTTTGGGCAACTGCGATAGTTCGCTTCCTTGAGACTTGCACCAAATGGGAATTTCCGAAAATAGGGGTACCTTATTCTGGGGTCCATACAATAATAAGGATCTCTCTATTTAGGGTATGATATTAGGGTCCCCTATTTTCGGAAGCTCCCAAATGGCATCATCGTAGTTTCTTGGCACCAGTCTACCACTTGAATCCCCATACCCCTCGAGTCATACCTTTATCGGGTTGAGAAGATACCCAGAATGACAACTGCCCCTTACACAGTGAAGAAGGATGGCTTAACCAGTATAGTCCTTAGTGCTGCTGGATTAATCAGCATGATTTCCCGGTCTATTCCTAGGGGTATTGAGCCGAGCGATGGCCTCTTCGGCTCAACCGTCGCCACAGACGGTACACCAGCCGTGGCTGAGATAGCAGCGGCCTTCGGACACCCACGGTCGTATTCAACACTACGACCTGGACCCCGTCAACCCGCATACAGAGGCCTTAATGGTGAGGATAGGCCTCGGTTTAGGGTTTAGGGTTTAGGGGTAGGGCCTTGACAGATGATTCAACATTTCGACATTAGCCAGCGAAATTTCAACGAGTACTACTTCCAGGTCTTGTAGCTAACCCCAACCCCTGAGGCCTAGAGCGACTGAGTACCTGAGTACCTGACCTAGAGGGTCCATGTACACTACTATTATGGAATTAGGCCCCCAAAACCATAATGGGGAAGGTCTTTCAGGGCTTAATTCCATAGTAGTAGGGTATGTGGACCCTCTGGGTTAGTGTTTCCCTGGTCGAGTTGAGGGTTTGGACCTCCCAGTAAGGTGCCCATACCGGCCCGGGTCGGGGGGGTCGGGGTGAGACCAACAATGCTGGATTTCGGGTTTAGGTTTAGGGGTTTAGGGTGGGCGCTTAAGGCCAAACTTTAGTATGCCCGAAGTTCCGCCTCCAAGTGCGCTGGTACAAGAGGGCCGTCTTTTATCCAAGTCTGTTCAGGCTATAGGGCGCAAAGGTCGGAACAAAAGCACAGGACTTGTGAGGCTGTCTGCACTTGCCGGAGCAATCCTCTTCGCGACCCTAAGCCGTAAACCCCTAAAAGCCCCAAACCCTAAACCTCATCGCAAGTTTCGACATCAGAGCGCGGAAGTGTATGCATGGTCAAGGTTTCATGTACACCAGCACGGCGATTCGATTACATTGCAATCGGAGCAACACGTGTATACGAGGTCCCTTGAAACACTGCGTGCCCACAGGCTCCATAGTACTTCCAAATTACCTTATAGGATCCTAAATATAAACCACAAAACGGAACTACAATGGAGCCTATGGCAACATTAGGTTTCCTACCCGCGATTCCCGATAGCCGGGGCATTTGGGTAAGGGTTTAGGGGTTTTGAGTGGGGGTTTAGGGATTTGGGGTTGAGGGTTTAGGATGGTTAACCTTACTGTGTCAGGTTTATGTCCCAGCTGCCCCAGCTTCAATCTCCAGACAGCCCAATAGCCTTTCAGTGGAGAATATACATTCCACATCTTTCCACAATTTATGGGCATTGGGCCCCTCTGGATCAGGCTTCCTTGTGGTGCTTGATGGCAGGCCCCACCGGTACTGTTCAAGCCTTGTGCAGAGGCATCCGCATATCTTAATTGCAAATCCTTAGCAGGTTCTATAATCTCTATATACCCTAAGCACTGATTTGATAAACCCAAAGCCCTACCCTTATTTTTTTCATTGACATAACGGTTTGAAGCGTAAACTTTGAACCCAGGGCCCTCAGAATCCCAAGAGTCCTAAAGCAGCGATGCCACGAGTCCGAGAAGCGGCACCTAGACGCTCTGATGCAGGGCTTTGTTTGTTCATGTGGTTCAGTTCTTATACCTTGGGGTCCGAAAAATGAAACAGGTATCCAAACACATGTTTCCAGTTTGAGCTTTCTACACACCCTGCAACCCTGAACCATGGAACCCACACGAGGCATCTTCACACCCCAGCGTCCACCACCTTCTAACAACCCTAGGTCCTAAAGTCAACGGCCCTTAACGAAAATACCCAAACCCCAAACCCTGAAACCTCAAGCCTAAGGCTCAAACTTCTAAACCCTCAACCCTGTGTCATAACTTGAATCAACCTTTTAAGCCAAACCACCCAAACCTTAAACCCAAAACCCAAGAAGCACAAACAAAACAAACCCTCAACCCTGAACCCCAACCACCTAAACCCTAAACTCAAGCAGCAGAGCAAAGCAACCAAACCCGACCCTCTGAACCCCAATTACACCCTAAAACCTAAACCCAGGAAGCAGAAACAAAAGCAATCCCTGAACCCTAAACCGGAAATGCACCCTAAACCCCAAACCGACGAAGCCCAAAGCCATGTCTTCAGCGAAGACAGAAGAGCGGAGGGAACTTCGGTTGCCCGGATTTGAGACGTCAAGATCCCAGACCTTCCAAAACCCCTTAATTAAGGAATATACCTTAAATTATAATAGGATCCCTAATTAGATTTAAGGTATATTCCTTAATTTAGGGATTTTGGAAGGTCTGGGATATTCATTTGAGAGTTTCCGAAAATTAGGGGTACCGGATTCTGGTGTCCTCATACTCAATTAGAAGGACCCTACTATTTAGGGCACTATCTTAGGGTCCCCTATTCTCGGAAGCTCCCATCTACCGCTGATACGATGCCCTAGCTCGGGATTGTGTACTTAAAAGATCATGGGACTTAGCAACTAGGGTTATAATTAAGGTAACCATACTTATAGCGCCACTTAAGGTACATATAACTTTACTCACTAAGTCCCATGATCCTCCTAGTAGGAACATGTCCGGATATGTCTTGGGTGTGTACGGACCTTCATGTAGGGCTTCTGGCATGTACATGCATCTACGTGTCCCTTCGGGTGATATATGGTGTTGGCGAAGGGGTGTTGGTTAATATGTTAGGGCGTGTATATGATGTACATTGCTTGTTTGTGTTTAGGTTTAGGGCTTGGAGCTTCGCCGTCATAGTGGGGGTGGGCTGGGCGAGGGGAGGGTGCAGGTGAGTCTGAGATCTTAAGTCGAATGCCCTACCCTCCAAGACCTACTAAGCCATTAAGGCCTTCCAAAGCTCCGCAGCACACCGATGCCACTGCCCTCGACCGTAACCCAGCAACCCTAAACCTTAAACCCTAACTGTACGAACCGTCTCCGTGTTCTCTCTGTGTCTCTAGATCTCTCTGTCTGTATATGCACGTAGAAACTACTACTTTATCCGTTTGTGAATACACATTCAGATATGTATACATATATATATATATGCGAAGAGAGACATACAGACAACGTTTAAATCTTGTTTGTCGACACACTTACAAATACAGCAACTCACCTCTGTGTGTGTGTGTAGATGCGTTCCAGCACGCATCGATATGTTTATATGCCTTTTGTTGTACCTGTGGATACCTGTGGCTTCCCAAGGCAACTACCAAACCTTAACCCCCAAACCCTAACCCTAAACCCTCAGCCCTAAATCCCTAAACCCTAAACCCTGATTCCCTAAACCCTCAACCCTACTTCCCTAAACCCTAAGCCCCCTAAACCCTAAACCTTCTTTAAGGGGCCTGCGACTGTGGCTTGCCATCTCCCTGAGGTTTCTCGCCTTCTGCCTGTCTCTAGCCGAGAAGGCGCCCCGACCGCCTCGAAGCGTAGGTGTACTTGGAAATAATATAACTTTTGGTTATTATAATCCCTAGGAAACAGCTAAAATTCTAATGTTTGCTAGGGTTCTAAGTTCAGTATAGGAAGTTTCAAGACGCCCAGACGTCTCACATCGTACGATCTGGCATAGTTCCGTGTCGGGTTTAGGGGTTTAGGGGTTTAGGGGGTTTGGAGTTTAGGCTTGAGGGTACTTTCTGTAGGGGAGAGAGAGAGGGTGAGAGAAGGAGAGAGATACAGAAATAGATAAATCAAAGGTATGCTATCCTAGGTTGTTGAATGTTTTTTTTATGTGTTGTGTTTACTTGTTGTTTCTGGGTTCCTAAATAAGACAAACTACTGTTGATCGACAAAATCCTGCATTACCCATTATAAGGAATATACCATAGTTCCCATGGTTTAGAGTCCTTAGGGTCATGCAGGATTTTGTCCATCAGCAGTATCCCCCAGATGTGCGTCTTCCAGTGGGGTACTGCACCACTAGTTTCTGAAACTTGCAAATAAAAAACGGAACCTATCACCCAACAGTAAAGGTACCAAATTCTGGCATATGTATACATATACATATATAGATACATATGTATATATATATATATATACATATACTCAAGGCAGCCATCTTTACATACTTGAGGTGGGTTGGGACGGCAAGTTCAAGGCTTCAGGGTCTTGGTGCTTGGAACGTTTAGATGGACGGTTCCGGGCCTTCTGGTGTGATATACTTGGAGGGGCAGGGGACTTAGTAAGTAGGTTATAAGTAGGGTTATAATCGGGGTAACTCCATTTAGGGTACTTATAACTCGACTTATAACCCTCCATACTAAGTCCCCTGCCCCTCCACGTAGTATAGCAGGGTTCAACCAACCCGGCGGCCCCAGCATCGTTTGGTGTCCAACACATGTCCCCTAGCGATCTAAGGACTCATATAGTAAGGCTTTTGGGCCCAAAGACCATACTATGTAAGGTTTTTGGGATGTTTTGATCCCTAGGCGTCGATGCTGTGCGAAAGCAGCTATTCGATCAATGGCTGCTGTAGTGTTCGGTTTGGAAGTTTCGGGTGGCCCGTTGTATCCCGTTGTCTTGAAGCAGGAGAGGGAAAAACGTTTTACGAGTACGATTAGGCACGTGCCAAAAAAGAACACCCGTTCTGAGTGAGACACTCTCGTGCAAAGAGACTTGCCGGGAGGCTGGGAGGAGCGGGACGGGGAGAGAGGGAAAGATTGAGCTTCGGGCACACATGTTCCTGACTCCCCGTTTAGTAGTTTTAAGCCTACTTGCAGGGTCGGGGGACTTAGTAAGTAGGTAGTAAGTAGACTTATAAGTAACCTAAAAGGGTCCCTAATTGGGTTTATGGTACTTATAAGTCCTTAGAATAACCAGTTACTAAGTCCCCCACCCTCCAAGTATGCGCCCAAAAACAAGTAAGCCATGCACCCGGCAGCCGCCAAGCTGCCAGACGATATGGGTGGTTGTCCGATTTATGGTCCCTTTTTGGGTCCTTAGTATAGTACGGCACCTATTATTTAAGGTACCCCAAAAAGGGACCCTAATTTTGACTTGACAACTACACTACCCATATGGAAGCCTGACTAACTACTATACCCATAGGCTCCATAGTAGTTCCGTTTTGGGGATTAATTGATAGGATTCTAAGCACGAGCTTCAACAAAGAATTACTATGGAGCCTCTAGGTAGTATTTTGATACTACGTAACATTATTATTCCTTCCAATTTGTTTTGCTATAATATACCAACTAAATCCCCAAATACCCCCCCAAATCCCCAAATCCAATTCTAATGATCAGGGCCCCTATACTATTACCCCCAAGATCGAAAGTCTCCGCGCCATTGTTCAGGCCGAGCGGTTTGCAGAAGCCGAGAGGGCGATCACCCGGGCTCTTCCCCGAGGCATGGAGCTGGAGATGTTTCCAGGCCTGGTGCTTTTTGCTCTCGTGTTAATTTAGGATTCCTTTAAGGGTTCCTTTTAGGGTTCCTTTAAGGTTTCCTTTTAGGATTCCTTTTAGGGCTCCTTTAAGGGAGGGTTCCTTTTAGGGTTCTTTTAAGGGAGGGTTCCTTTAAGGGAGGATTCCTTTTAGGGTTCTACTTCAGGGTTTACCCGGACCCTGCATAACCCACCCTTCAAAGGTTCCTCGTTGTAGTTTCCTTACGGTCCTTTAAACGGGCTCCGGGTAGGCCTGGAGCTTTTTCTCCAAAGTTGTCTTAACATGGAGGCCTATAAATGATTGGAATAGGGCTTTGGGGCATGTTATACTATACTATACTTATAGCAAGGAGCCCCCCCCCCCCCCAAAAAGCCCTATTAACATTACTAAGGCCCCTACATGAACTGTTATGGAGAGTTTGTGTTTACTACACTAGGGTTGACGGTTCAGATTCGGGGTTGGAGGTCAGGTTCTTATTCAGAGGTGTTCCTAGGATGCCCAGTAGTACCCTTATTAGGGGTACCTTTATAAGGGATTTATAAGGGTTCCTTAAAAGGGGTCTATAAGGGTTCTATAAAGGGTTTAGGGTTTCCGAGAATTAGGGGCTAGGATGCCCAGTAGTACCCTTATTCCCTTGTTGTAGTCCTAGGTTCCTTATAAAGATACCCAATACCAAAAAGAGAGGCTTTTTATTCTTAGGTTACTGGGTATCCTAGGTTCACAAAGCAGAAAGGCTCTTTAAGGTTTTGCTTTCAATTGGTGGTATGGGCCCTGACAATGAATCTCTAAATCCAAGAGCTGTTATAAGCCCTACCTGCATCCAAGGACCGCAACTTAACCTCGCATATGGCTAAGAGGTTTGACTGGCAGTAGATTTGCCGACCAGGGATGGTATTGGCCAGTCTGAACAGGCTCTGGCAACTAGAAAGGAAGCATGTGCATGCTTTTCGTTTGACCAAGACACAAATACGTGTACGTAGTGACATGCCCCAAACGGTTAAACCCTAATATAGTGGCCTTACTATACTTACCAATAGTTGTAGTATATTATACCCCCAGGACCCTACTCTAACTAGGCCCCCATATTAAATCCCAGCAGGCGTCTACGGGCATGCGTTCCGACATCTTCTGCCAGATGTCGACGCTTTGGAGGAGGCGCTGTGCCACTTCCGTTTGCAGAAGCTGCAGGAACTTGCTTGCTCGCCTTGTAACTTGGCCAGAACAGGAGCAGCTATCTGTAGAAACAGATACCCCAGAGGCACTGTATGCTGGAGCAGACCTCAAACTTTAAACTCCTCCTAGCGATCATGTTCTTCCCAAAAACAAATCCCAAAGGGTCCAAGTACCCAAATAGTAGGGTTGTAGGTCCCAAAATCCATACTCTGAATGGTTTTTGGACCTTGAAACCCTCCTATTGGGTACTTGGACCCTTAGGGAATTAATGTAGGAACCTGATTAACAAAGCTTGGGCCTTTATTAGGGTTCCTTATACGAGCCCGCATATGTTGCCTATTTAGTCAGGTTCCAACATGAATCGCCGCAGTTGGCCCTTGAAATCCCTCGATCTTCGAGGATATCAGGTCTCGATTATCCCTACGATGGATGGTCCTGGTAAGCACAAAGACTTTAGTTTCTCTAGTTTTCAAACATCGTAGTCGTCGTAAGACCCTGAATCTTACGAACCCCGAACCCTATGACGCTACGACTCGTTTCCCCGAGACGTAGGACCCCAAGCCCAGATCAAGCCTAGAGCCTTGTCAGTGCGAACGTAGAAGATTGAAAGAATATAGCCCTCAGTCCGTATAAGGGGGGGTGTCTGTTCCCACCAAAGTGTGTAAACTCTATAGCATGCTTGACCCAGCAACTTACCACATGGGTTACTGGCCTCCTAGGGTAACACCGCAGTACTTTCTGTTAACAGCGACAAACCCTATACCCTTACAACAACAATAGGCCATGGGCTGCCACATCTTCCGCGCACCTCGGAGGAAAGTTCCCACGCCACCGAGGGGATCTAGCTTTGAACCCCAGTGGCTCGAGCTTGGGGCGCTTTAGATCTTAGGGGTCTGATGTAGGAACCTGATTAGCAGTAGCCCCTCGTAGTCCCTATACAACCATGTGTAATTAAATGTTATGACATATCCCAGACCCGCGCTTTATCGTTTGACGCCACTCGATTAATCAGCGATCAAAACAGGTGCGCAGTAAATTTGAGCAGCGTCAAAGCGGTTTACAGTTAATAGTTGAGCAGGCATTGAAGCGAGTTGCATGTTGTTTTTGGTAGTGTTGGTGTGGTACTCTCTGCCTGACACGGCTGGACTTTCCGATGTGCACCCAAGCCTTCAGAGCCCAAAGCCCCCTAACTTGGCTCCACAAGGCTTTCTTGAGAGTTGCACCGCAGACTCAACAAGGGTTTCATTCAAGACTTTGCTACTAGAGCCTAAGCCCCAAATCCTAAACCTCCCCTCAACCCTAAGCCTTAAGCTTAACGGCTCAGGGCTGGCCCGTCTGTGAGGTGGAGGATGCTGCTTCGGCATGTATTGCTGAGGGGGTTTAGGGTTTAGGCTTCCTTCTTATGGCCCGAAAACTGATTCGAAGTATAAAGGCCCCTGCGTTATTTCGGATATGTGTGTCTCGGCCGGTAGGGTATAGTGGGTTTAGGATTTAGGGCTTCGTGGTGAAGGGTGAGGGGTTTAATGTTGGGGATCAAGGGTGACATGAGAGGTTAGTCAGGGTTTATTTAGTTCCTAGCACAAGAACTATAGCTACGAAGAAAAGCCTCAATAGCAAGTAGAGCATGCAGTTTCGTGTATGACGTTAGTGAAACACATCGCAAATCCTATTCTGGTTAGCCAAACTGTCCGGGGATCATATGCGACGGTTTCCGTGCCCAACATCGCAGCACAGGTGGTGCGCATGCGGCCCGATTTGGCATCTTTGCCAGATTGGAAGGCTGGCATAAGCAGCGTATCCTTCCCAACATCCCCAAAAGTCTGCAGGACTCAACGTGTAGGTTAACTGCAAACATGAAGCCTTTTGAGGGAGGGTACAGTTCGGTGGGCTTTCCTTTTTATGGTGTTTGGCTATAGTTGGGTAATTCCAACGGCACAATTACATCAAGCACGATCAGGAGCTGCTTGGGAACCAAACTCCCCCCAGATTCCAGTGAAACTCGGCAAGACTGAATCAGACTGAAGCTAGTTGTAGCCAAACAGAGATACCCTCAACAAGTGGGAAACGATCTCTCTCTCTCTCTCTCTCTTGCTTTTTTCTTTCCTGTTTTTGTTTCTACCAGTTTGGGTAGTAGGAGTTGCAAGTTTCGGGGCTTAGCTTTGGCCCTTTCCCGAGCTCGTACAGGATAGTTTAGTGACTGTGTTTAGCGTTTAGGGTAGGGCTGCTGACCCCGGACTGCAAAGCTACTACTGTTCAGGGGTTCAGTTGTTAGGGGTTAATATAGGGGCCTTAATAATTGCCTATCCTATCTTGGGGGCTGAATACCATCATCATAGCATGATACTGTTGACATCTTGGTGTCTACTGACATCTTGGTTTCTACTCCTGTCGCTGTTGCCTTCGTCGCTGTTTTTTCCGGTAGTCGTTGTCAAGGTTGGTGTTACTGTCCCTGCAAATGCTTTGGTTGTTTTGTGCTGTCGTCAATTTCCGCTTAAGGGTATCTAGAAATATTTCAACCTTTGGCCATTATAATCCCGAAGAACCATCTAAAATTCGAATTTCGTGCTAGGGGTCTAAAACCCTAAACCCTAAACCCTAAACCCTAAACCCTAAACCCTAAACCCTAAACCTAAGTTCAGTATAGCCCCGACACAAAATCAAGCCCTGGACGAAACCCCAAAGGGTCCAAGTACCTAACAATCCTATACTCACCAAAACCTTAAAGGGAACTCCAGAAAGTTGGAATATGGATTAATGGTAGGATCCCCTATAATTTACCTTAAAGGGGTTACGATAATGATATTCCAACTTTCTGGCTTCTACTGTACTCACCAAAACCTTAACCTACATAGCTACTACCCCAAAACCGAGTACCTAGTTATTGGGTCCTTTGGACCCTTGAAGAAAGCTAACCTACACCATCCTCGTGCTGCAAAGCCTAAAGTACTTAAGGAATGCCCTTACGAACCATTATGCATGCCGTATGCAGTGGTTGTCAAACTAGGGTCCCTTTTTCTGTACCCCAAATAGTAGGTGCCGTATTACTCAGGGACCCAAAAAGGGACCATTATTTTGACAACCACCCATATGGTGCCCTTATAAAACACAAGGGTTTCGCTGCTTTCGGGCCTGTAGGGTTGTAAATATGAATAGGTTCCCACACCCGCAAAATCCGGATTAGAGCTTTAACTTGTACCCTTACAGTACTTACTAAGTCCCTTAGTCCCTTAGGCCTTTAAGCAGGCCTGGGAAACCTACATTTCCTGGCACAGACGCTTTGCAGCTGTTGAGATTTGGGGTCTATATCGGAGTTTCCGAGAATAGGGGTCCTCATTATGGGGACCCCAAATAAGGTAGGCTTGTGGAGTCAGGGCATTGTGTTTGTACCGATTTTGTCATCTAGCGGGGTCCTTGCTTTTGAGTTCCTTTATGCGCGGCTTCATGTGTTCGTTTGGTTGAAGATTTTTCATTATGGGAGGTGCAGGGTTGTCTAAAGCCCTGTGTGCCTGTTTCAAGTGAACAAGAACTTGAGACGGGGGAAGTTTACTGTGCAAAGGATCCCCTTCAGACTGTCCTGACTTAGGGTAGACATGACATTAACGGACACTGGCACGAGAAAGGGTCGCCCCAATCCGCGGCACTGGCCTGAGGATGTTTGGTTCTGAGTTCTGAGCTTCAAGGTTTGGGAGTTCAAGGTTAAAGGGCGTACAGTTTAGGCTACAGGGTTTAGTGTTGATGTTGCCAACGTTCATCTTTTAGGGAGCAGAGATTGGCGAGTGTTGCTTTGCAGGAAGTGACCGATGACCTCGGGGGGTGACCCTGAGCCTTAGCCTCTTGAGCCTTATTTCGGGTCTGCAGTATACGGTAGGGGTGGGGGGGGGGGGGTGCTTTTCTAGGCCGGTCGACTGAAGGAACCACTCAATGGTTACCACGGTCTTCTGTTAGTTGTTATTCGGAGCATGCCTCGTCATCATCAAACAGTAAACCTGCGTCTTTGGAGAGCTCTTAGGTCATTCCTCGCAGACTCCTCACAGACATCGTAAACCCGACATAAAGGCCTGGCTGCTCCTTATGAAAATCGTTAATACATGCTTGTCATAATCTGCATCCATGGATCTACTAAATATGTCACGTTCATTTTGGGTCTAAGGGGCTTAGAGATTAAGCATCCCGATTGAAAAAACAGTGTGACTGAACGATCTCAGGATGTTGGATCTCAGATCGAGCATCCTGGCCGAAACTTAGTAGTTGCCTTCATACGGTTGATGATATCAATCCTGCGTTGCCTTAAGGACCCTAGACTATTTTAATTATGGTATATTCCCTAGTACGGGTAATGCAGGGTTTATATCATCAACCGCAGACCTTGGTGTTCTCGGGCATGGGAGTTTGTTACTGTACAAGCCGTTGAAAAAGCGCACCCGCATTGGGCATGAGTCCAAATCTGCAGGAAGGCAGAAAGACATTCCAGCAAACCATTAACCGAGTGCCCCAGAAGCCTCTAAGACACTTTGGAAGTGCTCCCTCAGATATATACCGAACAGCCGGATATTACTCCAAATTAGCGGTATGTTTCCCTTTCTCAACGTCCCTTTGGTGACTCCCTAAACACTCCTGGTTTAGTGTCTAGGGTGTATGCATGCTGAAACCTCAACTATTATGTATAGTATACTGTATACTTGATGCTGCTCATATAATGACCGGAACCCCACGTTCTAGAATCTTTCGTTCCCTAGACGAAGCCTCAGGTGATACTCCGTCTCATGCTGCATCTTACAGCGGCCAAATCCTTTGCCTTATATCAAGCAGTAGCCATGCGGTGCAGGGATCCAGATATAGGGTTTAACCTCAGCAAAGAAACCTTCAAGCTACCGGACCTATTCTCTTAAGGCAGGACTCGGGTGCATTGCTTTGAGCCACACAAAGAAGGAATCGTCAATGACCATACCCTGCTTAGAACCTCTACGGGTACCATGCAGCTGAGACTTGCCACAGAGGTTGCATCCGTTAAACGGGAGGTGTCAAGGTGCCTCCGTAGTGCCGTGTCTATTGCCTGGCGTTCTTGCTCAAGATTAACTAAGTCGGATGATAGGATAAGCGTGCCTCGTTTTGATTTTTCAGAGTTACTGTCGATCCGAGTTACACACGTGCCACCGGTACAATGACCAGGCGAGCAATTACATCGACTTCTACAACCGTCACCTCAAACTGGGCGAGGCTGGTGCATTAGACTTCGGACATCGCAACGAATCCCAAACCGCCCTTTGCAGCGAAGGCCTGAACCCTAAACCCTATGCAAAGGCGCAGCCCCAAAGTCTTCGGAAACTCCAAACCCTAAACCCTTTATAGCAGGAGAAAAGGAGCGACAAAAACACAAAAAAAACTTTGTAGAACCCTTTTGGATCCCTTTAAGGAACCCTTATAGCACCCTTTTAAAGGAATCCGCTTCTTTTCTGCTAACTCCAGTTCATGGAGCCCGAAGCCCTGGCTGTTGTTTCCACCGTGCGAAACAGGAGCCTTGTTATATGGGTGGTTGTCAGACTTTTGATCCCTTTTTGGGTCCCTAATTTAAATGCGGCACCTAGTATTTAGGGTACCCAAAAAGGGATCCTAATCTTGACAACCACCCATGTTGAATAGATTTCCGCCACGATGCGGCAAGCTATAGCGCCATGTAGGCATGCCTAGGATTCATCGCTCAGGCCTTGTTAATCTCCGTCAGATCCTTGAAACCAAATCAGCCAAGCCTGTCCCTAGTAGAGCCCGCTTCCGAAGCGTTCGCCATAACATTGCGAGGTTGCTGCCTGTTTGAGCCACTTCCGGCTCTGGCAGAAAGCCCTGCGATGTGACCTCGACGTGTCTTGACTGAGACAGCTGCCCAGAGACTCCAAAACCATCTAAAGCCCTTTAACTGATGCGGGGTCCATCTTATGCTAAGGATCCCCAAAAGAATGGATCTTGAAGTATAGTCCTGAATCAAGGTGTTGCTGGAGTCTCCCGGTCTCATCCCATGCATGTAGTCACTGTTTGAAGGAGAACCCGAGTGTCTTAAGCGTGATGGACAGTCGTGTGTCTCTGTGTGCATGCTTGTGTGTGTGTGCCGGTGTGCCCCCGTGCCCGTGTGCCAAATACCCCTACAGGCATACAGAGCAAGATATGTGTCAACCCTAAACCTTCACCCTATACACATCCTTATGTCGTATCTAAAAACCTGGAGATACGAGGTGTGCATCGTTTTCGAGGATGATGCAAGGCAGCTCGGCATCTGCACGACAGATATCTGCAGGGCTTGGCTTCCAAGGTCTTGAGCTCTATTAAACCCTGCAGCCCTACAAAAAATAGGAAGTGCTGGTCGTAGCACAAATGTGCATACACGTTTGAGTCATCTTGGAAACTCAGTTACCCTGCACCGGATTTAGGGGGGCTTTCGCTGTTGCAGTGGCTTCCTGGCGTGGTTCTGCATTAGAGTCTCGCTTTCGGGTACTCTTGTCTTTCTCGCAAGAGTTTACTAATCGAGGAGACGCTTTAGTCGCTCCGGTTCGGAGCGACCTTGCGATACTCCGAGTCTGAATGATGAGTAGCAGTATCAGCCTGTACATTGCTGGAAGACCCACCACGTCCCGCTTTCTCCGTGGTGACTTTGGCGGGCTTGCCAGTGCTGAAGGCACTGCCCTATACAGCTCCCATACTGTCCATACCAATCCTCTACACACCTCAACTCAACAGAATCTCGCTTGGCCGGGAGCAGCCTCGAACGGTCCATGTAAACTCAAGCCTCAAAGTAGTCGCTACAAATGCGCTTTAGGCGCCTAAAGTACCTAGAGGCTCCATAGTATTTCCTTGTTCCCGGGCTCATATTTAAAATCCTATAAGGTAATCCCAAAAGGAACTACAATGGAGCCAAAGGGTATTTATGAAAGGAGCACATGAGCCCTTTAGGGAACCACACATCCTAGAGACCACGAGCCCTGCATACAAATTACCCCTAAACCCCCAGGCCAGAAACCCTGAACCCTAAACCCCTAAACCCTAAACCCTAAACCCTAAACCCTAAACCCTAAACCCTAAACCCTAAACCCAAAAAAAAAAAAACCCTAAACCCCTGAACCCCTGAACCCGAAGCCCCTGAACCCTAAACCCTCCTAAACCCTTCGTTTGTCCCTAGGCCTACCGAGGAAGGGCTCCGGCGCTTCCAAGAAGAGGTGGGGGCACTTCTTTTCTTGCAGCTGCTTCGGTTGATGATACAAATCCTGCATTACCCATAATAAGGAATATTCCATAATTCCCATATATTCCTTATTATGGGTAATGCAGGCTTGTATCATCAACCGTTCAGGCTCCACGGGTTTTAGTTGGGGTTCCAAGTGCCCTTAAGTGGAGTTATCCGAATCCTTACTTGTAGCCGTATACTAACTAGGTCCTATGAGCCTCTGAGTAGGTGCCGCATCAGAGAGGTTTTGGGTGGGTCTGGTGAGTTGTAGAGGGTTTGGCTTCGGCAAAGGTTTCGGGGTTGGCGCTCTGCAACCGGACCCCTAAACCCTAGCCTAAACCCGATGAGGTAGCAATTTGTTGTTCAACTGTTGCGGTGCGGTCCTTGAGCGTCTTCAGGCTTGATGCATAGAGTCAGAGCCCTGTTGACAGTAGGACATGGGACATTGGTAGGGTTGATGATATAAATCCTGCATTACCCATAGTAAGGAATATACCACAATTCCCAAACTGCACGCTGTGGCATGGTTTAGAAGGATCCGACGAAATCTGAGAACCGCAACTCCTCCCTATAAAGGAATCCCCAAAACCCTATCCGACCCTATCCCTACAAAGGAATCCCCCAAACCCTATCCCTTTAAGGGTTCTTATAAGGTTTCTGCAAAGGGCTGTAGGGTTTACAGCCAGGGCTTATACCGGTCCTCGTATCTGAATAGTAACCCTTTTTCCCTTGAAAGGATTTCAGTATCCCTGAGGGTCCATGTACTCATATAGTATACACATTGGCCTTAAAGTACTCCCTATATAGGTACATTGGGCCCCAAGTATATGCTATATGGGTACATGGACCCTTAGGGTATTGAATCGGTCCAAGGGTGGTACTTGAATTTCAGCTTCTCCCAGGTCGACTGCCTGACAAGATTGGGCGTGTCCTGGGAGCCTCGGATAGCTTTCATATAGAGGGTTAAGTAAGTACCAATACAATTCTCTGCGGCTTCTGATTATCGCTACGCCATTGTTACTATAATGGGGAGTCTTACTTATTGTTGGTAATCGGGCCCATACATACATGTGATGGCCGGCTTTAGCATGTTGTATTGTTGTACCTGTACCGCAATTTTGATTGCTGCAGAATTGATTCATAGTATGCTGGCTGCTGGAACGTGGGATTAAGATGGGTTTTGTTTTGGCTCTGTTTACATTGCCTGGTTGAGGACTGAGTTTGGGTTTCCGTTCCATGATCATTCATGTTGTCTTTGCTGCTTGCGTTCCTGCTCCGAAGCACCCGACAGCGCGGACCACATACCAAGAAGCCGGACACCCTAAGCCGTAAGCCGCTTAGGTTAGTTTTGAACCCAAACCCACACACCCAAAGCTGAACCTTAAACCCTGATCGAACCTCAACGCCTGGAACTGGCACCCCGACAAGCCTCCACCAAAACAAGCTGCCGAAAAGTGTTGTTTTGAATCCGACATACGGTTCTTTGTTGGAGTGTGTCGGAATGCGGTGGGGTTTTGGGGCGCTTGGTTTAGCCCATATTCTCTCTCCAATCCAGTCCTCAGACAAGACTCCAAAGTGGATAAATTCCTGGAGATCAGAGTTTGGGGTTTCTAGACCCATGATGGTGAACCCTAATAACCCTGAAATCCCTAACACCAAATCCCTGAACTTCTGCAAGTTATTCGCATTAAGCCCTACATGAATGTTCATATGCCTCCCTGAGCCCTCCGAAAGTAGCCTACTTCCGGAGGGCTCAGGGAGACATATGAACATTCATTTAGGGCTTAGTAGGACGAGCCAGGGATGAAGAGGATTACGATTACTTGGAATTAGGAAGATATGTGCTGAGCCACCTGCTCGCTCAACCCCAGCAACGTGCTTTTTGGAAGGGTCAGGAGCAAAACCCACACCGGCACGTTGTAGGATCGTAGGCCCGTAGAAGACGCAAGGATCTGGTCTACTTGCATTCTTCACTCTACTCCAAGGGAGAGGACTCGCAGCTGGTGCCACAAACTCTTAGCCTGAGTGGGAGAGAGTGAGAGAGAGAGAGAGAGAGAGAGAGAGTGTGAGTGAGAGAGAGAGAGAGAGAGAAAAAAAAAAAGAGAGAGGGAGAGAGAGAGATAAGGAGAGAGAGAGAGAGAGAGAGAGACTGAGACTGAGACTGTGGACAGGGGCAGAGAGCGAGAGCTTAGCAGGTACATAGGGCGGTAGGTAGGCAGGTAAAGAGATAGAGGGGTAGATAGGTAGATAAATAGATAGGTAGGTAGATAGACAGATTAGACTAGACACTCAGTCCGACCGTCAAGAGAGCTAGGTAGGTAGATCGGTAGCTAGGTAGATGGCAGGTAGAAGAGCGGTAGGTAGCCAGGTAGAGAGATTGTGAGGCAGATAGGTAGATAGGTAAATAAATAGATAGGTACGTGGATAGATAGACTAGGCTGGACAGACCGTCCGATCGTCAGATAGATAGACAGACAGATAGATCGAGAGATTGTTAGATCGATCGAATGGTCGATAGGTCGACAGGGCAACCCGGCAGATCGAGACATCGATATATGTGTGTGCATATGTATATGTACATATATATAACTATAATTATATCTCAGTCGATATAGGTCGATGTAGATCGAGAGGTCGATCGACTGATAGATCCCAGAGCTGGATCCCAGAAAGCCCTGGACCAGTATAGCCTCTCAATCGCCAAAGCCTTCCGACAGATGCCACCACGAAGCCCTAGGCCTTATCCCGTAGACCCTAAAACAATTCTTGAGCCCTGAACGGCTTCACACCCGAATCTCGTAAGCACTCAAACCCTGGAACCCTAAACTCCTAAGCCCTAGCCAAAACCTCTTAACCCTAAACCCCCTAAATCCTGAACCCTAAACTCCTAAGCCCTAGCCGAAACCTCTTAACCCTAAACCCCCTAAATCCTGAACCCTAAACTCCTAAGCCCTAGCCCAAACCTCTTAACCCTAAACCCCCTAACTCCTGAACCCTAAACTCCTAAGCCCTAGCCGAAACCTCTTAACCCTAAACCCCCTAAATCCTGAACCCTAAACTCCTAAGCCCTAGCCGAAACCTCTTAACCCTAAACCCCCTAAATCCTGAACCCTAAACTCCTAAGCCCTGAACCCCGAACCCCCCCCCCCCCCCCACCTCCCGCTCCGGAACCTTTGCAAAAGAGCCTTACAATGGAGGAGCCGAAGCTTGAAGGATGCAACCTCCTCTTTGCAGGGCATCGGAAGTGGGCAGGCCGGCGTGTAGGGTTCCTTTAGTGTGAGGGCTCTTCATGGTACTCTTGCTGGTTTTAGTGTAGGGTTTGCACCTTAGGTTTTCGAGATAGCTTTATAGGGATGAGTCTTGCTGTTTAGGTTTATTTTGGGTGGTGTTTTGTGTGTCTGTTGCGGGTTTGGGGCTGGGTAAGATTGAAGTTCGGGGTTGGGGCTTGGCAGGGTTTGGGGTTGAGGGTTTGGGGTTTGCCCGCAGGGTTTGAGTCTGCGGGTGTCGGGGCGATAGTCTGCGCAGTAGTTTTTGGGGCATTGCTACGCGCGTCTGATACGGTTGAGACATGTCTATGTTGTAGAATCTGGAAGGCGAGTTATTTCTGATTAGGGTCTCTGAAGATGTTCATTAAAAGCAGAATACCCCAATTCCTGTCCAGAGTATTCAAAGCCCTTACATTGAGCGTTTCCGAAAATTAGGGGTACTTTATTTTTGGGCCCTTATAATAAGGACCCTAGTATTTAGGGTACTAGATTAGGGTCCCCTATTTTCGGAAGCCCCCTATATATTGAGGGTTTAAGGCTGGACAGTTGCCAGAGCTAAGGGTCCATGTACTCGAAAAATAAAACATATTCGCCCCAAGGTACCGATTTAGGGACTGACTACTTTACCATAAGGCCCCATAGTAGTTCTTTTTCGCGGCTCATATCTAGAATCCTGTAAGGTAATCGCAAAAAGGAACTACTTTGGGGCCTGTGGGTAAGGCCAAAGTATATACTATTCGGGTACATGCACCCTATGGGTTGGTCAAGTGGTTGCATAAAAGGCTTTGTGGTGTTCAGACACCGAGGCTTGCTCCCTCTCGTTCTCAGGTTAGGCTTTAGGGGATTTCAGGATTAGGATCCAGCGTTCAAGATTTAAGGTACCCTAGGGCTCTAAGGACTCATGTATTAAGGCTTTTGGGCCCAAAGACCATACCATATAAGGCTTTTGGGCTGTGTTGACCCCTAGGTGTATAGGCCCCTTGACTCGAGAAGCAAGCTGGGGTTCCGAGTCGTGCAGTACCGGGGCCTTACCAGGATGTGCAGCCAAGTTCTCGTAGCAAGTTGCTTTGAGGGGTTGAGAGTTTAGGGCGTGCTTCAGGGCATCGTGATTCACCCGTAGAGGGAGTTCAGGGTTGAGGGCTTAGGTCAGGTTAGTTCTAGGTTTAGGGGTTTGTACATGAAACGGCCTGTAATTTCAGGCCTCCACCTAACTAGTTCCTGAATGCCTGGTATCCAAAGATGGTATCTACTCGAACACAGAAGCAATTAGTTTGGTAGCTTCAGGTACTGTTTAGGGTTATTCGCCCATCATTATCCATGTTCACTCGTCTTCTCAAGGTGCTTATGCCCTGTCCCGACGCGGTCTTGAGAAATTGACGAGCAGCGGGCGCGAAACTCAGCCTGCTCAGCACCATCACCAACTTGCGATGTCGAGGAGTTGTCTTGTGTCGGGACAAATAGCTTCAGCTTTATGCAGTATAAGTTAGAGCCGGCTTTGAGTAATTGCTTATTTGTGTTCTGCATGCATACCGATGTGTTGCATGCAGTACACATGCACAGATTATCTATCTGTTGTCTTCCGACAGGTATGAGAATTGCATCTTCCCTGTGGATGACTTCCTTCCCGCATTGCACTCGTTCCATCCGCGACCGGACGTGCGCGATCTTCCTTGCGCCACGGGCTCAGTGCTGGGTGGTTCAAGTGCGTGTTTATGATTTTGGAGCGCTAGTGCCACTAGGGCATTTGGTGCGTGAAGGCTTTGAGCGATGCAGCCGACGATGTGAGTACATGTCGGATTCCGAGGAAGGGGTTTTCCGGTGAGGGCTTGAAGTTCAGGGTTTATCTCCGACCTTACAGAATACATCGTAAAATCCGCACGGCCTGATATTGGTGAAGGTGTAAGATCTAACTAAAAGGTGTCATATGGTTTACGGAAGTGGATCATGCTTGTTCGAGCTAAATTCCGCTGAACTTCCTGCAAGGCTAGGCGAGGTGAGCAGCACAGGCATCCCTTGCTAGGGTTCACACTCTCGGCGACTGCTTGGTTGATTCCACCTGCCGACATTTTATGGTTTCTTACTCTGGACCGTTTTGCATAGCCTTACCGGACCCTTCACATAAGACTCACCCTAAACTTCCACCAAACGCAAGCATACGTTGAATTTGGCAAAAAAGCCCAGAAGAAGCCCCGAAACGCCAATCTCCAAGCCCCACGCCTTGATAAAACCATGCAGGACCCCTTTCGAACACAGGAAGACAGGACCCCGCCCCCCCCCGCCGTGAAACCCCTATGAATCCCTGTGCAACGCTCTCCTCAAAGGGCCCTTCCTACCAAATCAAACTTGCGATTCCTAAATCCTTATTTATTTTTTTTGGTACCTCACGTTGCTGGGCTCAAAAGCCATAGGTACCTAAGCCCTATAAGCCCTACACTTGGAGGGTCGGGGGACTGAGTAAGGAGGTAGTAAGTAGACTTATAAGTGCCCTAAAAGGGACCCATATTGGGGTTATGGTACTTATAAGTCCTTAAAATAACCAGTTACTAAGGTCCCCCGACTCTCTAAGCGCCCGAAACCCTTAGCCTGCAGGTCCAGGGCCTGTCTTCGGACTTCATTGCGCTGACCTTCCCAGACGGAAGTGGCGTGGTGCAGGTGGCAGACAGAGGCACGGCCATGAGGAGACTTCGGGCTCCTTTAGGGAGGAGATTTAGGGCTCCTTTACTATAGTCTCCTTAGGAATAGTTTTTGTGTATGTGTTCATGTAAAAACCAAGAGAACATTAAACGCATTATTTTTATTATGGTTCTAAGGGTGGTATAGCTTTAAGGAGGGATCTATAATATAAGGGCTCGTTTGAACGTGATCTTTCAGGGCTCCTTTATTGAGATTTCTGAGGGCTCCGTTGGGATCTGTATAAGTTCCCTTAAGGGGCCTACAAAGGACAACGATGCCAACAGAGGGTATACAGGCTTTTGGGATGTATAGGGCTAACCATAAACCCCGAAACCCTAAACTTTGAACCCCAAGCGCTAAGTGAGTCAGGCTCCGTGAGCAAGTACTCCGCCGTCATTTTGGGAGATCTCGGCGCGCTGCTGGGAGATTCGGATGACGACCAAAAGGCATCCAGGGACCTTTTGTTCGGGCTTGGGGGTGCGCGGACGTAACGGCTTAAGGTAAAAGCCAGAAAGTTGGAATATGATTATCCTAACCCTTCTATTGTAAATTATAAGGTATCCTACCCTGAAACCATATTCCAACTTTCTGGAGTTCCCTGTAAGAGTTTTGGGTTCAAGCCTTGAGGGTTTTCCTGTCGTGTGTCTGTGCATCCTGGGCTGCTCCCGGCCTGAGTATCAGCATGTGTTCTTTAGGGTTTAGGATTTAGGGTTTAGGGTTTAGGGGTTTAGGGTTTAGGGGTTAGGGTTTAGGGGTTTAGGGTTTAGGGTTTAGGGTTTAGGATTTAGGGTTTAGGGGTTTAGGGTTTAGGGACTTTAGTGATCAATTTTTCAACAGAGGGCCACCGGCCATCCAGGACAGGGTAAGTCAGCCCAATTCCTTCAGCCTCACTCGCAATCCTCGTGACCACAACATCTTACTCTTCATCAAGCAAAGGCTTGATCCACCGACCTTGGGTAGAGTCATGCGACGCCACAGCCTAAACCTTTAATCCCCAACCCTAACCCTAAGCCCTCATAGACGACAAACCCCTACGAATCCTGTTGCACACGGGAAAAGCGGAAATTCAAGGGATTTGCACTCTAAACCCTACAAACCTAAACCGTCCTAAGGCCTAACTATAGTCTCCATTGTAGTTCCTTTTTGGGGCTACCTGACAGGGTCCTTAATACATAGTTGGTCAACTCACAAAAAGGAACTACAATGGAGACTATAGGTACACCCAGTTCTCAACAAGAGACCTCACTTGACTTAGTAAGTAAGGTTATAAGTATCTTAATTGGGGTTATAAGTATAGTTACCTTAATTATAGCCCTAACTACTAAGTCCCATGATCCTTTGAGTAGAACCTAAACCCATAAACCCTATAGATCCCTTGACGGAACCCCTATAGATCCCTATAAGAAGACCCTAAGCCCAACTAAGTCCCCTGCCCCTCCAAGCAGTGTCATGACCCAGGCGGAGCATCCTCGAAGCCTGCACGAGGAAGAGCCTCGGCAGCACTTGGAGGGTCGGGGGACTTAGTAAGTAGGTAGTAAGTAGACTTATAAGTACCCTAAAAAGGACCCTAATTGGGGTTATGGTACTTATAAGTACTTAAAATAACCAGTTACTAAGTCCCCCGACCCTCCAAGCAGATGCCGGCAGCAGCGCGGCAGATCTCGCGGCCTTTTAACGGTACTATGCAGGGTGCTATAGACTTGGCGTTCTTCTGGCTGGCTCTTAAGACTTTAACTTTTAGTGTTTCTATATGAGCAATAATAAGGAGGCTAAACGTTTAACTTTTAGGAGGGGTTCAGAAGTCAGCCAAGTAGAAGTTTCGGACTACTCGTTCAGCATTTCGGGGGGTTAGGGTTTAGGGGTGTAGGTTCGGAATGGTGGCAAGGTGTCGGAGTTAGGATGCCAACCACAAGGGCAAGGGTCCAGGTCTACGACTAGAATGCAGGCTTTGGCATGGTGTCTTGTAGGACTTGGTATGCTGTGGTGTCTTGTAGGACTTGGTATGCTCCAGTGAGGCTGCCCGAGACTATTCACGTCTGAATGCTTCGGATTTGGGGGCCTCGTGGCGACAATTTGGAGCCGGTTGCCTCCGGAACATGAGTTCTGATCCAAGAAGTACTATAGTCTGCTGGATGGCTCTGCGAGAGAATCCCATGTGATCCAAAGACGTTGTGCGGCGCCTTGGAGATACAATACAACACGGCGGTAAGATACTGAGAAGATTTGAACTGCAACTAGTCATCAGCACAAGATTAGCGACTGTCATGACGTCAACTCCTATACACCTAAGGGTCCATGTACCCAAATAGTATATACATTGGCCACAATGTACCTAGAAGGGATGTTTTTAAGGCCAAAGTCTAACTTATTTGGGCACATGGACCCTCAGGGAAAGGTGATTCTCAGGCCGCCTTCTGGAGCCCATGCAACACCAAACCTCCAAAACCCTTCGGATGATGGACGCAGTCTTGAATGTGGGAGTTTCCGAAAATAGGGGACCCTAATGTAGTACCCTGAATAGTAGGGTCTTTATTATAAGGACCCCAGAATAAGGTACCGCGAATTTCGGAAACTCCCATGTCTTGAAGTTGTCAAAACTGTGGGAAGTAAGGTATGTTTCTTTTTTCCGGGTTATGCGGGATTGTCTTTCTAGATCCTAAGCCCTAAACCCCTAAACCCTAAACCCATAAACCCTAAACCCTAAATCCTACTTTCTGGATCCTGGGAACCAGCAGAATGAGCCTCGCTCAGGCCTTCTTTGCTGTCGACATTGAGACCGCGGCAGCTGCCCTGAGCCGGCATGGTTTCTCCGTGTGCGCCCGGAGCGATGCGAAGTGTTAGGGTTTAAGATCCCAGACCTTCCAAAATCTCTTAATTAAGGAGTATACCTTAAATCTTATTAGGGATCCTATTATAGTATAAGGTATATTCCTGAATTAATTAAGGGGTTTTGGAAGGTCTGGGATTGAGGAGGGTGAGCTTCAGGACGATCTATAGTCGTCATTGCAGTTCCTGTTTTGGCCAGCCAGCTTTGTTTTATTGGATCCTAGCCATAAGAATTGCTAAGCAGACAAGGAACTACAATGGATACTGTAGGTGATCAGAAAGAGCAAAGCACCCCAATAAGTAAGGGAACTGTACCCATGTACTGGTATCAGAACCTTACACCCTTCCAGGGCTCATTCAGACATTCAGGTACTTTAAACATTCCAAAATTACATCAGCCTTAGCCGTATACTCTAGGTTCCTGAGTACGTAGTACCCTTTTGCGCTTTCAATTTGCGCCCCTTCATCAAAACCGACTAGCAGGAAAAAGGATACCCTTGTTGAAAATGGGCTACTCAGGGACATGGGTTATTGCATAAGATCCTTAAAGGTATATGGTAGTTTCCGAAAATTAAGGGTGCCGTACTTTTTTTGAGTCCTTAAACATACATGGATCCTTCTAGTCAGAGTACGACATTAGGGTCCCCTATTGTCGGAAACTCCCATACCAAATATGAAATCGAAACGCCCCTGAAAGGCTGCAGCTGCCACAGGCGACAGATTGCTTTCAAGCCGCAGAGGACTGACAGCTGACGCTTTCTTCCCTGATCGCTTGGGTGTACGGGGCCCCGAAACAAAAGAGAGATGTTACAACATTTGCTTAAATTCCGCTTGAATCCTCAGAAACCTTTCCAAGACACAGTCTTATGGGGTTTACGGTGAACGGCTTAAGGCTCAGAAGGCATTGTCCAAAGAAGCTCTTGCGCCCAGAGGCCTCACCGGAACAAGCTGAAGCCCAGTAGCACTAAACCCCAAAAGCCTCACCCTAAAATTGGCATAAACTCGTATAAAACCCTATAAGCACCCCCATACATCCCTATGAATCACCAAAACAGGCCTCTCTAATACACCCTAAAGATCCCGAAAAGCACAGAAGCTAGTAGGGAAACTATTGTATTTACTATAAGCTGCTAACTTAAATCAAATCCCTTAAGAAGAGCCCAGTACAGTAAGTCCCTTCAATGAAATGAGAAAGGATGTTTGGCGCGACTTCTTCGCTGCTCCCGGCCTGCCCAACTTGGGCTTGTGTTAGGGTTTAGGGTTTTAGGGTTTAGGGTTCAGGGCTTAGGGGTTTATGGGTTCAGGGTTTAGGGTTTTAGGGTGGTTTAGGAAGTTTAGGATTTATATGGTTCCAGAAACTACCTTGATTATGGGGTTCCTCAATACGATGTCCTAATACACATCCTTAAACAGCTAGGCGATTTAGGGTCCCGGCAGGGTTCAGGGCTTTGGGTTTAGGGCTTAGTAACTTAGGGTTTAGTTTATGGAGTTCAGGGCTCACAGACAAGTTGAGGATGTAAGGGGAAAGCTTTAGTGTACGGCTCAGGATTTATAGTCTCGATTGTTGATCAGGTTTTGGTTGATTAACCAAGTGTATGATTCTCTCTCCAAAATAAATTATGAAGCAATAAGAATTAGAATAGATACCGTACCTAGACTAGGCTCAAAGTCGCGGTCGGAATAGTTACGCAAGAGTATTACCGCTTGCTCTCGTTTTGAAGCACAGTATACATTATACAGTTATAAGATCAGCCGCCCCCGCCCGCGAATCCCAATTCCAATTGCTAAGGCCCATATTAATTAACTATTTGGTTTTAAGGCTGAAGAGTCAGTCTGAGAGAGTGATCGCGTTCTCATGTCTGTTTGGTTCCGCTTCGTTGTCTCCTCTCCTGTCGTCCTTGCTTGTCCTACTTTGCATGTCCCTTGAAACCCTAGACACCCTACTGACTTAGTTTATTTGTCTGGTTCTTAGTAGGGAATGGGGGGGTATTGGGACTACAAAAGGGGAGTATATAGGGACTGCGATAAGACGACAAGTATCCATTCCCCCATTCCCGACTAAACACCAGACAGTCATGTTTATCAAAACATCGAAAGAGCTGCACCGAGCACCCGAGTAAAGTGCCAGGAGAAAAGTACTGCGGCCTTCGACAAGGCCTCTGCTGCCTGATTGCCGTACTTATGACCGACTTAATGGAGGGGCATGACTTACCTATACTATTCTAAGGATTCCTTGTTATAGTTATAGTATCAGAGGAGTGTTTTTGTGTGTATTCATCTGATGTGGGCATCTTCGCAGTGCTTCATCATGTTGGATAGGATGTTCCGAGGCTATTACAGTCGTTTTGGTTAAGGGTTTCGGGGTCTTCTCCTCACGTTACGTAAGTTGGATCCTGTAGATACAACTGATGATCAATGACCGGTTGTGTTGCGAAAGTATGTTCATGGCGTTTTGTGTACAAACATGGTGTACAGAGTATGGCCGAGTATTCGCCGCTACAAACTTGGTTTTGTGCGTGAAGCCGTTATTAACGTTCACGCTTGCCTGCGCTTTCATTCTGTGGTTTGGGGTGGCTGGTCTGAATGTGAAGACGTGATGACCTTGACACAGCAGTGCCATGCTGTTCGTGGAATGGCTTGATAGGGTTGTAGCTGAGGCACACGATACGGTAGAAAATGCTCTGACAGGTTTGTGACGAATTGCCATGACCATTAATTAGGGGCTTTCGCTGTTGATAATTCGATGTTCCCCGTTTGGGATTCTTGTGAGGTGCAAGCATTGGTCTTCCTCATTGCCTCATCTAACCGCCGCTGTTGTTTCATAGTTCGTCTTCAACAGTAGTCATCTTAAAACATCGTAAAAGAATCCCTCTGATGCCATGTAGCAAGATCGTAGACTTGTGCTTCCGGCCTTCACAGCTAAGAAGTGATCTTGGGACTTGCACCTTGGTGACTGTTGTTGAAATCACGAACGTTATCCTATCCGGCATTCAGAATCCCTGCAAATGCACGCGGATGCAGCATGATCTGGATATGGAAGCAAAACCCACATGTATCGGGCAGCCGATCCGGCGCAAAATGAGCATGTTTTATTAGGTTGCATGTTTCAATCACCGACAACATTAAGAGCTTAGGCTTTTGGATATTGGCGCATGCGATTTGGCTATGCATCGCACATTCCTTTCATTTTCATGTAAGGTTTTCTGACCATGCGAAGGTACCAAGCGTAGAGAGTCGGTCGCCACAGGGATAAGTGCGAGACTGCCAACGCGAGCATGGTTCCACAACTGACCACTCCACCAGCGCATGAACATACTGCAATATATTCAGGGGAGAGGATCTCTTGATTGATGATTGCGCACCACCAACCAGACACCATGCGGGTTTTGAAACCACTGTGCTGTTTGTTTCATTTCTGGTGGTTCCAGCCAAAACCGCAAACATGGATGCGCTGACTTAGGATAGCATCGATGGAGCATTTCCTCGGCGTGCAAGATTTTTCACGGATTGTAGGAAAGCTTGGCCCTACCAATTTGTCTAGTTCCGTCTTTCTGCTGCCCAATCGTCCTTAGTACGAACATTTTCATTGATGCCTGAAGCAAAGACAACAGTATACCTTGAATGATTGGGATCAAGTCTTACTATACATGGCTCCCGTTTCGTTTGCGTGCCGATTCTCGAAGCCACGGAGCCAGGAATTTGCGCCAGCAGTAACACCACTGTCATGTTCACATTGCGGGCAACGGGTGAGTTGACCTGTGAGGTGCACCCAAATCACGTTATTGGGCAGCTGTCGGCTGTAGGTGCTTGGTTTTGGCCATGTGCAAGTGGCGAAACAGCCTCCGCGAATGATGCGGCAAGAGGTGGGTCCTGAGCCACTACTATCAGCACCACTGCCATTCCCAGTACCGTACCAGCATCAGTAGCAGAATCACTACCACAACCACAACTGCCAGGTCAGTACAACAAGAACATTTCATACAACGACCACGACTACGACTACGACACTATTACTACGTCGCCCGTTGGGACGACAACAACAACTACTACTACCACTACCACTGCCACTGCTACGACAACTACTACGACGACGACTACTATTACTACTACTACTACTACTACTACTACTACTACTACTACTACTACAACTACCACTGCTGCTACTTCCACTACCATTGCCACTGCATTCCTTCTACGTCTGCGTTACTATTTCATATACTGCTACTGGTACCTGCTACTGTTGTGACATAGGAGGCCTCTAGGTAAGCCAAGTTCTATTTTATTTTCGGATTCGGTTTTGATTCAGTTTAGATTCAATAGCCAGATTCGGTTTTCATTCACTTATCATATGCGGTTTGCTTGGATGCGCGCTCTTTCCTTTTTCTCTTCCAACGGGCAGGAAGTTCCGGTCAAGCTCCACTTGCATGCAAAAAGAGTGTATGGACAAATACCATTTAACCTGCAGTCGCGGCAATGCCACGGTAGGGTATTAAATTTCGTCGTTGTCACCGTTGTCACCGCGTTGGCGTTGTCATCGTTGTCGTCGGCGTTGGCGTCGCAGTCGTGGCGGCCGGAAACTAATCACTATACTGACTGACCATATGTAAGGACCCTTGACTTGACTCCATCCCAGTCTTATGCCAGGGTTCGAGGGGTGTGGCACGGAGAAGCGGGGCCGTGGTGGTGGGGGGGGGGTTGGCGTACCAGGTGGGGGGGTCCCAACCAAAATTGAATAGCGTTCCCACCGTCGAGCAGGAGTCCCAAACCAGGTTAGGTTGAATTGAAACTGAATTGAAAATTGAATCGCGCGAGGCGTGGTTGAAGCAGCCAAAACGATGCCCAAACGGACTCAAAATTTGAATTGCTCGTGCCTTTCAACAAAAGCTGACCAGTTCAATTTCAATTCAATTTGCCAATTCAAAATTGAATTCAATTTCAATTCAAAATGGGCCTGGTTTTGGTTGGGGTCCCGGGGGGCCCAGTTTGAATCGAAAATTGAATTCAATTTTGAATTCAGAATCGAGTCCAAACCGGGTCCCAAATTGAATTCGATCCGCGACCTTTTTAGATTATAGCGAATTCAATTTTGAATTCAATTTTGAATTCAATTTGGGCCTCTTTAAGGGGGGGGGTCCGGACCCCCCCAAATTGAATTCAAAATTGAATTCAACATCGAGTCCAAACCGGGTCCCAAATTGAATTCGATCCGCGACCTTTTTAGATTACAGCGAATTCAATTTTGAATTCAATTTTCAATTCAAATTGGCCCTGCCGGGGCCCGATCCCGGGGGGCGCCCGGAGGGGGGGTCCAGAGGCCGTTTTGGGGGGGTCCGGACCCCCCCAAATTGAATTCAAAATCGAATTCAAAATTGAATTCAAAATTGAATTCGTTGTAATCTAAAAAGGTCGCGGATCGAATTCAATTTGGGACCCGGTTTGGACTCGATGTTGAATTCAATTTTGAATTCAATTTGGAATTCAATTTTGAACTCAATTTGGGGGGGTCGGGACCCCCTCTCCGAACTCCCCGAAAACCCCTGCAGGGGCCCTCCCACGCCTTGGTGGGGGGCTCCCTCCTCCGGGGTGTGACCCCTCTTTGAAATTGAATTGGACCCCTTTTCCCCGCGCCCCCCAAAGCCCGACCGGACAACCCCCAAACCCTTCCCCCAAACCAAGCCCTCATCGGACGACCCTTTGCCCTCGAACCTGGCTACGCTACTACGTACTCTGCTACTTACTTACTACTTCACGCGGTAGTGCCGGTAGTGACCGGTAGTGGCTCCTTACTTCCTGATGGTGGCGATTGGGAACACCAACTAGTAACTGGTATTCGTCCTTTCTGGCTCGTGGGTGCGGGCGAAGCCGAAGGAACCGAACTCGAACCTGTGAGTGAATTGAGCCTCGGGTCCCCCCAAACAGCGACCCCCAAATTGAATTCATCATTGGAATTGAAACCGGATTGAAACTGAATTGGAAAATTATCTGGTAAATTAGCAACCTAGAGGATTTTCTATGTCACAATGCTACTGCTTCTGCGACTGCCACTGCCGGTGTGACTGCGACGACGACTTGTACTACTACTATCACCAGTACTACTACCACTTCTGTTACTACTGCTACTACTGTTCAAGCCCTGAACTCCGAAGTCTCCTTCCCAAGAGCTGGGTTAGAGGCATCTGTAGTTGCATGCGCAAAACGCCAAGTGAATCGCTTGTGATATATGGACCCTGAACCCAAACTAAGTCTGAAACCATAATCTGAAAGGCTCACCTGGGCTTATGTTGCCGCTGGCGGATGCTGGTTACACCTTGCAAAGTGCTCGGCAACACTTCCATCTGGTCATGGGCGCTGCAGACTACCAGGCCTGATGCCTCCCTAATGCCCTTATGCCAATGGTTGAGGGCTCAAGTATGCAGGGCTAAGGGTTAATTTCTCGGAGTATAATCCTTGGGATACGTTGGTTAAGCTACCAGACCATCAGGTATTTGGATTCGTCGCTGTCACTGAACACCAGAACCCAAAAACATCCGCCGCCTTGCCTTTCGGGGACTCGAGCCTCCAACTTCGTCACATGCAATGTGCATTCCATGTTTGAGTCAGCAGCTTCGAATCATAAGTCCGTATGTTTGCTCATGCATTTGTGGTAGTCCACACTTAGGACGGTCTCTGGGATTCCAGGTTCCTGACGGTCGCACCAGGCCAGCGTGTGCGCATTGTGCAACTTGAAATAAACAGTGAAGAATTGCTGGTTGGTCTGAAGTAGCAATGCAGCAGGGCTTGTAACCGTACTTGACCAAATATTGATGATCGACTCACTACTAATCACGGTGTCACAGAATGTAAATAGGTGTGGGTTGTCGACACTGTGGGCTGTCGTGGTATTCGTAGTCCTGGTCTTCATTTCAGGCAGAACATCGCTCAACCAAGCTGACTGCCATGTTTTCCATCTCAAGCGGTATGTCATAGTTACAGTCGCTTGTTGCGAACACCTCACTGCAGGCTAGAATGGGATTGTGCAATGCAACTTCATGCCAGGTACAACCGATCATGTTCTCCGGGGCTCTTGAGTGCGTGTAGCTACACTGTGACTTATGCAGGTTTGGCCACCCGGGCTGGAAGAGATTTCTCGCCCGTTGATCCGAGAACTGGACCGTGCAGCATTGCTTTAAATGGGGCTTTCCGAAAATTAGGGGCACCTTATTCGGGGGTCCTTATAATGAGGATCATACTATGTGGTACTATTTTAAGGTCCCCTATTTTCGGAAATCCCAAATGGGCTTGTGAGATCGATGATGTACGGATGCAATTGCGGATTGATTTCGTTTGGGCTAGGGACTCTGGCCCGGCTTCTCCCCAGAAGTCCCTAACCGCTCAACCCTATAAACTTAAACCCCTAACCCTTATGAAAAAAAACCCTAACCCTGGACCCCTAAACCCTTCTAACCCGAAGCCCTAAACCCCAACCCCTAAACCCCTGTAAACCCTATTTGGAGGGTCGGGGGACTTAGCAACTGGTATTTTTAAGGACTTATAAGTACCAGAACCCTAATCAGGGTCCCTTTTAGGGTCCTTATAAGTCTACTTACTACCTACTTACTTAGTCCCTCGACCCCCCAAGTAACCCCCTAGACCCCGAGCCCGGCCCTCCAAAGAGCCGGACTCCCGGATGCCGCAACGACATCATACCAAGACCCTGAATCGCTGCAGTTCTTGTCGACTCGTGGGGTTTAGAGATTTTTGGTAAACCCCCAAAAGTAGATAATCTGATTTAAGGTCAATTAGTGAGGGATGCCGTATAGATTACTCTTGAGGCTGTTGGGTTTCCAACTGTTGGGCTTCTACTGTGCCCTAAACCCTAAAGCACTCGCCTTGTTTTCGTTCTGGTGCAAGAGAACGACAACTCTGTTCAGAACTCTTCTGAGACCCTTAGCCCTTAAGCACTAGCCTTTTTTCTTTCTGGTGCAAGAGAACGGCAACTCTGTTCAGAACAATTCGGAGAAGAGAGCGGAAATCAGTTTACCTCAGACCCAATGGTTATCGCATGTGATCGCCACCTCGTAGGGTTTAAGGGGGCCAGGCTGGGTTCGGCGCTTCTATAAGAAAAGAATACCTCGAGGGTCTGCCCAATCACGTTTTGAGGGTACCTAGTTTTGTGGTTACCCCAAGGCCCCATAGTGGTTCCTGTTTGTGGTTCATATCTAGAACCCTATAAGGTAATCCCAAAAAGGAACTACTTTGGGGCCTATGGGTAGTATGATCCAAGCCCCAAGCCCCTAATTCTAAATAGTAAGGTCCCTATACTATACCCTTATGGTAACCCTTATATAGTCCCCGTAAAAGGAACCCTAAGCAGTACGATCCAAGCCCCAAGCCCCTAAACTGTGAAAGCAGGAAGCCCTTTGCCAGTCACTTCTCCGGCTAATACCCGGTGGTCGCATGATGGAGGCGAGACAGCCGAAGTTTCTGGGGACGGACTGCTTTGGGATTTATCGACTTCGCAGCCCTCAGCCCTAGAATCCTAAAGCCCCAAAACCTCAACTCTGAATTGGGATCCTTGCATTCATTTTCGACGGTCTTCAGGCTAGCACTCCTCGTTCAACGTGGCTTTCTGGGATTCCCGCTAGGTTTTCACAGGCTATAGTCTTAGCTGAGTGTCTTAGCTGTTGCCGTCTACTTGGAGGATCATGGGACTTAGTAAGTAAGGTTATAAGTACCTTAAGTGGGGTTATAAGTATAGTTACCCTAATTATAGCCCCAGTTACTAAGTCCCATGATCCTTTAAGTAACTTTTGTCTCTGAGCTATGCATCAACAGGCAAGGCAGAGATGGGGAGACAGACAATCCCAAAGGGTCCAAGCAGTATAGTATGCAAGATCCAAGTATCTACAAAACACCTACTATATTGCTACTTGGTCTGCTGTTGTTGCTAGTCGCTGCTGCTGCTGCCGCCATCTTTGCTGCTCTTGTCAGGTGCCCAAACGTCCACATACGCATACTTAGGTGTCGCTGGGACAGGTAACCTGCGCGAAGGATTATAGAGCTAGCTCATGTTGTGTTGCGCTGGGTTGTGTGGACAAGCTGGTGAGTTTAACCCATGCATGCTACTTCATCACGACACAACATTCAAGTCGCTTGGTAGGGCGAAATCGTCTCACCTGCCAGATTAGGCTTTCAGGGCCTTAGGGTATTGTTTGGAGGGGGTCGGGGCGGTGTGGTGTTTGATTGTCGAAGTCTTGTTCAGGCATTATGTGTACAGCCCTGCACACTGGAACATTACTGTATCAAGTAAAATGGCCCTAAGCGCCAAACCCCCACATCTTTGGCCCTTCAGCCGCTTTGACCCGGGAAGTCTTCTCTCAGGAAGAGAGAGAGCGAGATGGGAAGTAGAGGCAATTTAGGTCAGCTTTAACCCCATAAGGGCCCAATGAACCTATTAACAAATATGGACTTGGGTTCAGGGTAGCAGTGTTGTAGGCTTGTGTTGGGAGAGCATATGATTGCTAGGTATTTGGACCCTTTAGTGAGGGGAAGCTGGGAGCAAGGAAGTTATGTCAAACGCCTTCATGTAAGTTGCAAGCCAAAATACAGTTAGGATTCCAAACTAAGCCTTATACTGTCTCATTCATCATATATAAATATGAACCCTAGGCGCTCCCCTCGATTAGATTGCCTCCGAATGAATGTATGTTGATTCTAAACCCGAGAGAACTCATTTTCATTCTAAGCCCTAGAACCCGGAACCCTAAACCATCTCAGGGTAGTACAGTAGAAGCCCGAAAGTTGGAAACCCGTAGCCTGAATCCTTAAGAGTCATGTACAGGTGAATCTCAGCGCTAATTGTCCTTAATCCGATTTCCAACAGTATGGGGTTCACCTTAACCCTAAGGCTCAAAATAGCCCAAAAGCCCTCTATGGTCTTTGGGCCCAAAAGCCTAAAAATATACGAGTCCTTAGAGCCTGCTTGGAGGGGCAGAGGACTTAGTAAGTGGGTTACAAGTCGGGTCATAATCGGGGTAACTCGATTTAGGGTACTTATAACCCTACTTACAACCTACTTACTAAGTCCCCTGCCCCTCCAAGTAGACCCTAAACCCTGAACCCTAGACCTCATAGATCCCATTAAAAGGAACCCTATAGATCCCTTTAAGGAGCCCTTTAAGAGCCTTTACTAAGTCCCCTGCCCCTCCAAGTAAGGGTAAAGCACTCCCAGGCCGCCTGGCGACGAGCCTCGGAGGTGGGAACTCTTGTGGTCCCTAAGGCTCCATGTCCCCATATAGTAGGTACTTAGGCCTTAAAGGGGTCCCTATATGGGTACTTTAAGGCCTAAGTACCAACTATATGGGTACATGGAGCCTTTGTGGGTTTGAGCCGGGGGGGAGTAGGGCGTACTTGGAGGATCATCGGACTTAGTACGGTTGATGATGTAAATCCTGCATTACTTTAAGGACCCAAACTATGGGAATTATGGTCTATTCCTTATTAAGGGTAATGCAGGGTTTATATCATCAACCGTAAGTAGAGTTATAAGTACCTTAGCTGTAGTTACCCTTCTTCTAACCCCAATTGCTAAGTCCCATGATCCTTTAAGCAGGGACTCGGGTTCCGGGAGTCAGCCTCGCAGGGGCCAGGGGTTTAGGGTTTAGGGTCGGGGTTTAGGGTTTAGGGTTTAGGGGGTGCTCAGCCGCTCCATTTGTTGGTGTTTGTTTTTCTTTCTGGTTAGGCCTGGTATTTGTTTTACCTTGAAGCTTCCTTGCGAAATCCATACCTACTAGTACAGTTTATACCAGTCTGGTAATATTCAACCTTGGGCTTTTTTAAAATTACAAGGATAGGAAAAGTTTGCATCAATAACGGTGTTCCTTGGCCAGCTTTCCCTAAACCCTAAACTCCCAAACCCCCACTTGCAGAAACCCTTTCACCCTAAACTTGAGCCACGGTTTAGGGTTTAGGGTTTAGGGGCCCTAAACCCTCTTCTTTTTGCAAAGGGCCAGGAGACGAAAGGCAGAATCCGCGAAGCCTTCAGACCCCAGGGTTTCCCCGCGGGTTTAGGAGCTAGGACCTAGAGTAGGCCCTTATTCCCTTTTTTAGGGTTCAGGTTCCCTTATAAGCCCCTCTAAACCAAGAAGGGCACCCTTTTTATTCCTAGGTTACTCTTGGGTCTAGGGAGGGTTAAGGGTTTTGGGTTTAGGGTTCATGAGGGTTTGGGGTTTGGCGTCTGCGGTTTTAGGCCATCCAAAACTTAAAACCGAGGCCCTCTAGCCTAGATGGGAGTTTCCGAACGACAGGGGTACCTCATATTTTGGGGTCCTTAGAATCCGGATCCTACTACTTACTTAGGGCACTATATCAGGATCCCCCTATTTTCGGAAACCCCCATATAAGTGGTAGAAAACTTCTTAATTCTTAGGTAGGGTTTGGGCTCATGGGAGACCGCGGAGCTTCACACACCCATTTGGGAGTTAGGATTAGGGGACCCTCGGGGATATAGACCGTCTCAATAAGGTCCCTTTCAAGAGAACCAGAAGTAGGGTTCAGAAGGGGTAGCTTTTAAGGGGTCTCCCTCATCATGCTACCCCCCAATGGCTAGGCCACAGGAGATGCCTCAGTCTGGGATGCTTTCAGCTACTTCGCGCCGCCCGGCCACGGGTCCATTGGGATTTAGGGTGTGGGGATTTACGGCTGAGGGTTTGGGGGGTTAAGGGTGCGGGGTTTAGAGTTTAAGGGTTGAGGGGTTCGGGATGTAGGGCTAAGGGTTTGGGGGTTAGGGTTTAGGGGTTTCTGCTTTGGGGTTAAGGGTTTACCGAGGGGGAGCTTGAATTATTTGTGGGAGGCTCTCGGTTGTACGGCTGATGAGTAAGTTTTGAGGGCTCAGGGTTTAGGACATATCTTTGTGGATTGGAGTCTTCAATATCTAGTGAGTCCAGTGTTAAGGGTTCAGGACATGTTTGTGTTCTGCGGGGTTCAGTGTCATCAGGGTTGGGTGTTCAGGGCCCGCGACACACGGTAACATTTCAGTTTAAGGATGAGTCATTATTGGCGTAATCGAGGCACGGCAAGGATTGTTAAGGATACTTTCTGTGGCTCTTGGAGAGCAGTCCTTTCACATATGGGAGTTTCCGAAAGTTAGGGGTACCTTACTTTGGGATCCTTATAATAAGGATCCTACTATTTAGAGTACTGTATTAGGGTCCCCTGTTTTCGGAAGCTCCCATATAACCCTAAACCCAGCTAAGCCCTAATATAGTACCCTAAATAGAAGGATCCCTATTATAATTCGGAAACTCCCATATATCACCTCTGCATCATGGGATCCGAGCAGGAGTAGATGGAGAGAGCACCGAGAGGTAACTACCCAGGGGCTCCATAGTAGTTCCTTTTTGGGAGTACCTTATAGGATTCTATATATGAAACCCAAAAAAGAACTACTATGGAGCCTCTGGGTACTTTGAAACGTCATTGTTAACTGCCGAGCTGCTGTGTAGAGCTGCTGTGACTTATGATCTTGGTGTTAAGGCTTAGGGTTTAGGTTTCAGGGGGTTGCGGCGGACGTGGGCGAGGTGTGGGAAGGTAAGGCATACGAGAACAGATCGACTGTTGCACCCTCCTGCAAGCCTTTACAGCGTTGCAGGGCACAGTAGCATCGGAGAAGCGTAGAAAATGTGTTCGCCCTGTTGGCTGCATAGGCATTTCACACCCTTCTAGGCAGCATGTAGACACCAGAGCTTAAGCCCGAAGAACGAACCTACTCCCTATAGGTAGAAATATGTGTGTGTATATATATATATATATATATACACATATAGTTGCATTTATGATACATATACAGACACACACATGCGATCTGTCCATCTATGTCTCCGTATGTGTGAGAAAATCCGTGTGTGTGTATATATATATGTATAACAAGCACACACTCATGTTGTATATACTTACACATGTTGTTGTACTCACTTGTGTTTACATATATATATATATATATATATATGTGTACATGCATTTAGGTAGGTACTTAGGTAGCTAGGTAGGTGCGTAGGTAGGTATATATGTAGGTATATTACATATATGCACAGATGTCTTAGTATTACATTTATTTATTTATGTGTATATATACTAACCCCAAACCCAAAAGCCTAAACCGGTACTAAACATATCAGTGTCAGCATGGACCTTCGGCGTCGTTTCGAACCTAGGACTGGGGATGCAGCAGAGACCAGCCACAGCCTCGGTTCAGACTGGATTAGGGGTCTTTGGGTTTAGGGATTTTTGCGGTTTTAGGGTTTAGGGTTTCGAAGGTTTCGGATTCATAGGGTTTAGGGTTGAAGATAGTTTTCGTATCATTATCAGCAGCCCTGGAAGAACTGTTTACAAGACGTTATCTAACAGGTCGGAAGTGAAGGTTTAGGACGGAAACCGCAGAACCCTCAACCCCCCACCCCCAAAATCCTCAACCCAAGATTTTTCTGAGGTGCTGTTGACCTTTCGATGGCCGCTCACACCGCAGCTTGGACCACAGCATAGCCGCAGAGACTGTTCCGAGGGTTTGGCTTTCGGGGCAGGTTCTCATCAAGCATGGCATGACGGTTTTCGTCTGGAAGTAGACTTACCTTCTGCCCTGAACTCCAAACCCAAAAAGGAACCCTGAAAGGAACATTAAACGGAATGCTAAAGCCCTAAACCAAAACACTTAAGACCCTGAAGCCGAAAGCGAACCCTACTTAAGGGATCATGGGACTTAGTAACTAGGATTATCAATGCAGTACCTATACGTCTAACTACTTATAGACCCAATACAGGTACTACGGTTGATGATATGAACCCTGCATTACCCATACTAGAGAACATGTGGGAATTATGGTATATTTCTTATTATGAGTAATGCAGGATTTCTATCCCTAAAACCTAAACCCCCTATAGATCCCTCAAAGGAGCCCCTTAAAGGTACCCTCATAGAGGCCTTCAATTGAACCCCAGGATTTTCAGATAATCAGCCGTAAGTCCCATGATCCTCGAAGTAACACCCCGACATCTCTGTGAGGATCCGGGGCTCTTGACAGCCAAGCCACTAAGCTCTGTGGCAGGACTGGAGGTGGGATCCTAAAGAAGGGGTTTAGGGATTTAGGGGTTTAGGGTTTAGTGATTTAGGGCTTTGGGGTTCAAGGTTTAGGGACTGCAGGCTGTAGCGGTTTAGGGAGTGTGTGTCTTAGGGGAAAGGGGGTTGCGGGATTTCAGGGTGCATAGGGTTTTGCGATCTAGGGGTCTAGGCTTTATGTTTATTTACGGCGATTTAAACGTTTTTTCGTCAAAGGTTATGTTGGGCTTTGCAGGGCTTTAACAGCGTTTAGGCTTTTCACGGTGGGCTTTACAGAGGGTGTTTAAAGGATTTTAGAGTGTGTTAATTAGTTGTTTTGCTCGAGGGTTTCGAGTTAGATGTCTCTGCCTTATATAGCTTGTTTTATCGGATTGCGAGAGGTTGGAGGCTTTCGAGGGTCTCATTGTGTACCTGATTGCGTGTGGGTGGTGCGCGGCCACTGGCTTTTCGAGCGGCACTCAACTTGTTGTTCAGGATACTGTTTTGTTTCTCACTGTGCAACTTACTCTTTTCTCCATCGCACTAACTTAGTGCGCTGCACTACATCATGTGTGAGTCTGCTAGTCATTCCTAACTTTGGTTCAGGAACATAGTCATCCACTACATCCTCGTCGATTGTGTTTCCTCTTCATTACTGCAATCGGTGCCCTGAGCCTTGAACCCGTGTCGATACTGCTATAAAGGTAAACGGGTAAACCCTACTAAACTCTAAACCCTAACCCCTAAACCCTAAGCCCTAAGCCCTAAACCCTAAGCCCTAAACCCTAAACCCTAAGCCCTACACCCCAAGCCCTAAGCCCTAAACCCTAATCCTAAACCCTAATCCTAAACCATAAACCTAAACCCTGAACCCTTAGCCCTTATCCTCGAAGCGAGGTCTGGGATGCAGCGTCGGAGAGATGGATCTCCCTCGAGGGCAAGGCGTGGAACGGAGTCGGCCTTAAGGCCAAGGCTCTACCTATAAGTTTAGGGTTTGGAGTTTAGGATATAGGGTTAAGGGTTTAGTTCCTTTTTTTGGTCAACCCTTTTTTTGTCAACCAAAAAACTCTATTTTAGGATCCTAACCATAAAACTGGTTAACCAAAAAATGAGCTACAATGAAGACTACATGTAGAGTGCAAAACTTGCTCATGCAATATAGAAGCCTCAATGTTTACTAGTTCGTTATAGTGATTATATAAGACAATGACTAAAGGGTTGGCCTTTTTGCAGCTTCGTGCCAAGTAGGCTTGCTTCATTGTTTATGCAGCTGCATGGTGCTTTGCTTCCGATTGGCAGGCGTCGGATGGCCATCACAAAAAGACGACGCAAGTAACAACTCTGACGCTACTCATAACCAGCTGCGAACAATTGGGGGTTCGGGCCGAGAGTCTGGATGTGAAGCAGGTGAACAGCTTGGGCTTGGGCAGTTTGTGTTTTGCCCGACTGTTGCAGGATCGCGCTCTCGGCGAAGTCGTCGTGTTCAGCGCTGACACGCCCCTTGACATTTCCACAGTCAAACAAACGTGCGCGTTCTGAGGCCCAGAGAGTCGTCTCTCGCAGACTCTTCCATCCCTGAGTCCCTGAGCCTTCAAGCTTATGCCGACACCCAGAGCCTGTAAGCACTCTAATCTCTAAACCCCCTGAACCTAAACCGCCAACCCCTAAGCTCTGACCTGTCCCTGAGCAGTAAACCTGTATAAACCCGAAAGCCAAGCCCATGAATCCACAGGCTCAGTGCCATGAAAACCTGTCAAGTCTGAGCTAAAACCCCTAAAACCGAATCCTCCCGACCCCAACCAGAAACCCGAAGCCATGCATTACCCTACACCTTAGATTATGGAATACCGGTATGATTTCGATATCGGCCGAAGTATTTTTGAAACGGGCTTTTAAATCTCCCTTCACATAATATAGGTAGGGGCCTCAACAACTACCGATACTATTTTGCAGGTTCATTATTATATTGTTTGGTATAATGGGCCCCAAAACCCTACTCTAATTGTTATTATTATTATGATTGTGATTATTACTACTACTATTCTTGAGGCCCCTATATTCGACCTCAGCATGTTGAGCCAAAGGCTCCAGCGCTGGAGCAAGGGAGCCATCCCGAGCTGCCGCCACCGAGTGGCGAAACCCAGGCAGGGTTTAGGGATTAGGGTTTAGGGTTTCTGCGTTTAGGGATTCGGGTTTAGGGTTTCTGGGTTTAGGAATTAGGGTTTCGGGTTTCTGGGATTAGGGATTAGGGTTTAGGGTTTCTGGGATTAGGGATTCGGGTTTAGGGATTAGGGTTTAGGGTTTAGGGATTGAGTTTTTAAGGATTAGGGATTAGGGTTTAGGGTTTCTGGGTTTAGGGAATAGGGTTTAGGGTTTCTGGGATTAGGGATTAGGGTTTAGGGTTTCTCGGTTTAGGGATTAGGGTTTAGGGTTTCTGGGATTAGGGACAAGGGTTTAGGGATTAGGGTTTAGCGATTGAGTTTTGAAGGATTAGGGTTTAGGGTTTAGGGATTGGGTTTTTAAGGATCAGAAATTAGGGTTTAGGGATTTGGGATTCTGGTTTCGGGTGTAGGGGTGTAAGGTTTAGGGTTTAGGGTGGGAACCCAGGCAGGGTTTAGGGTGTAGGGTGTACCTCACCCACGAGAGCCTACCTGTTTGTGTCTCTGTAGGGTCCCTATAGATTTCATAGTAGGGATCATAAGAAGAACCCACAACAACTAGACTTTGGTAGGTAAGGTAGGGATTGGGATCAAACAGAGTTGGAAAGGGCTTTGGCAAGGCTTGATGGGTTCTATCGGGTGTTGCATATTCAGGACCGACAAACCATGAAGCCGAGACTGCCAGAACACCCTTAAACCCAAATCCTAAAAACAAGGAAGATCCTAGACCCTAAACCCTAAAATCTACACCCCAAACCCTAAACCTAACCCCTAAACCCTAATGACAATCAGGGGCGGCGAGCCCCGCCTGTCCTTGGTGCTCCTTGGCTGCGCAATGCCTCAGCACCCCAAAAGCATCCAAACATCAACTTTCAGCTGGGATATCTCACCGAATTGGGTTGTTTTAAACGGTGATTATGGCACATACAAGCTTAAGATTTTGTTTAGGTGCCTTTGGGGTCTGTACTACTTTCTTCCACGACCTGCTGTTTGCAAGTCGGTAGTTTGGGGTGTATGGTTCGGGTGCTTATGCCTGCAGGCACCTACTGTGCCCAAGAGTTAGTATTCATGGCCAGTCAGGCATCTAGTCAGAAGAAGATAGCAGAAAAAGAGATGAGGTGGCGAGGGGTTAGAGGCAGCTTGAGGTGACTTTGGGTCGCGACGTGACGGCCGTGACAAATGAGGAAACCCACGCCACCCTTGGTAAGTCTTGAAGCCTTTTCAGTTTAAGTTTTTGCCATGACACTCTGTTCGAACATGCTGCTCCTGCAGGTACGAGATGCGGATCCTACATGAAGGAGTCGATTTAGAGCAGATGCCGTAGCAAAAAAGAGAGTCTCTCCGCTGCTCTGCTTAGGTTTAGGGTTCTAATTATTTCAGAGCTATTCCTCAATTTCCAAACCCGGAACTGTTGCTACGTATTGCTACTAGTTACTCATCGTTTCTTGAAGTAGCAGTCTATGCGCTGCTGCAAGTACGACGAGCTGGCATCAACACGAAATTGTCCCTAAGGGTCCATGTACCCAAATAGTAGATACATTGGCACCAATGTACCTATATAGGGACTACTTTGAGGCCAAAGTATATTATTTGGGTACACGGACCCTCAGGGTGTTCTCGCCACGAACGTACCTTGAATTGTTAGACCGGACACGTGGTTCACACCGCGACATGAAGCCGAAGTGATTTGGGAGTTTCCGAAAAGTAGGGGTACCTTATTTTGGGGTCCTTATAATCAGGATCTTATTATTTAGAGTACTATACTAGGGTCGCCTATTTTTGGAAACTCCGATTTTTGCTGGACTCGAACCATACTGTGCCTGACTTAAGAAGTGGAACTCAACTAAGCAGCATGGCTATGAGAGTCTTATGAGATCCATTGTCCTTTCACTGTTGAATATAGCTCACAACATATTATCCTAAGCCCTAAATGCTTTAGGGCTTAGGTTGTAGGGTTTCGGGTTTAGGGCTTGGGGGTGAAGGTATATGTTATGTTCCTCACACAAGCGGCTCACTGGGATCTTCATAGACCGTAAAAGTTGGGGGTTCAGGGCATTCTCATGTAAAGTGCAGTACTATACTAAGCCTTATAGAGCACCCTTGAATCAACCCTAAACCCTAAACCCTGAACCCTAAACCCTAAACCCTAAACCCCTCAACCCTAAACCCTAAACTCTAAACCCCTAAACCCCTAAACCCCTAGACCCTAAAGGAACCCTCCAGACAGACAGAGCCTCGCCTTCTGACTTTCCCTTTGCCAGGTCCACGGCGAGAGCGCGGTGAATCCTGAGAGCTTTCAGGGTGGTTTTAGGGTTTAGGGTTTAGGGTTTAGGGTTTTAGGGTTTACCTGGGGATCCAAAAACCTCCTGTTTTCAGGGTTATACCATCGGGGTCATAACCTACTATTTTGGTAGGGTTTGCGGATACAGGTAGGGTTTGGGGGCTGATACGGGGGGCCGGTGATGACCTGACGCAGGTTTGTTGATATTAGGTTTAGGGCCTAGGGTTTATAGGGTTTAGGCTTATGATGTGGGTAGTTCTATGGGGGGCTAAAAGTGGTTAGCATGGTTGTTGCTGTCGTCAGCGCCTACCAAGCATAAGCAAAACCCCTTCGAGGCACGAATCTCGGCAAGGGCGCGCAAACTCCTGGCGAGATCTTTCATAGAACGTAGAGGCAAGCCTGCCCTGAAGCGATTTGAATTTGGCTTTATAGGGTTTAGGGCCCGCTCTCTCCAGTGCCATCGCTGATGTCGCAGTTTGGCTCAGTTCCAGGGGTGTGCAAGGCACGCTCAGAAGTTCCCGAGATCTTGCTGGGATGCAGCAGATGATGAAGTAATAATGGAGCCACAGTAGAGCTAAGGGTTTTTGTGAAAGCCGGAGAAGCAACAAAAACCAACAGTAGTAGTGACAGTAATACTGGAAAAAGAGGAAGCGGAAGGGACGTAGCTGTTTGCGGATTCAACGTCTAGGGTCTAGCAGTAAGTGGTTCATATAAGGAGTAGGTTGTTGTGACTAACTAGGGCGTAGTTATACCATTTGGAGCACATATTCTGCAGGGGTTAGCGATACCACAGAGCACGTGAAGTGTTGGTCTACCTTCTTATGGACGTGCTGTCGAAGCTGCAATGCATACCCTAATTTGTCATTAGAGTTCCTGTCGTGCAATACTGAAGATTTCGCTTATTGTCCCGTTTAGTATGTCTGCCCTTCGCCCGGTACAGTTGCAACTTCCTCGTAGCGAAGACTTGCATGAAGGAACCACTAGAGAATGCATCTGTTCCAGGCCTTATTGGGGAACTCTGGCATGTCTTAGCACATAGTCCAAACGAGTCAATTTCGGCTGCTGCAATCCCAGTAGGTGTTCCATGACCAGTAGGTGTTCCAGGATCTGTTCCTTGACATGGCATGCCCGTTATGGCAATCTCGTTGCCCAAACCCTGTGTTTACCCTGCACATGAAATCCTACCTCTTTCGAAATACCCCAAACCCTCAAACCAACTCTGACCTAAACCTCTAGCAATTTAGTTGATGTTCTTTCTTTTCTGGGGTTTGGTCAAGGAGTGTGGCTCAAGTGACCATAACAAGAGCAGCAATTGGGCTTTGTTGTTCTTCTTCTCCAGCCCAGGCCTATTTTGCAGCCCCAACAAGTTCTCAACCCTGAGCCCTGAACCCCTATACCCCTAAACCCTAAACCCTAAAAGATGGGTCTGAGCCTACGCCGGCTTGTTGGTGCTCCATGCTCTCCAGCTGCATGTCGAAGGGTTTACAGTAGCTTTGCCTCAGCATTCCCGATTTCACAGACTTTCGAGCAATAACACCTACGGTAGTCATAGCATGATGCTGCTGCTGATGATGATTCTCATGGTGAGGATGATATTTATATTAGGGGCGGTGTTGTTTTTTGTGACGAAGGTGATGATGCTGATCGTGAGTTCGACGATGATGATGGTGATAATGGTGATCAAGATGAACAAGGATGATGAAGAATTCAAATGTGATGAGAATGGTGAGGTTGGTGATGATCTTGTTGATGGTGATGAGTCAGGCCGATGATGACGATGCTTATGATCGGGGACGAGGATGGTGCTGATGATGGTGATGGCGATGCTGCTGATGATGATGATGATGATGATGACAATGTTTATGGCTGTGTCAGTGCTGCCGACGACGACGACCACGACGACGACAGCCCCGACAGCTTGCCGACGACAACGACGGCCATGTTTGGCACATCTAACACTAGCGCCGCGTGAGCGCCCCCTAATTCGCCGCCAACCCTGTTTGCTTCAACTTCAGCGCATAGCAGAATCATCCGCGTTCCGCGCAACCTTGGAGATGGTGTTATCTTCGCCCAATATGCGTAGCATCAGTTTCCACGATGCACATGACCCCGGGATCGCACAGTCGAAGCCGCAGAACCTGAAACCTGAAACGGTCCTCAACCTGTACCGTTCAGGGTTTGAGGACATCGGCAATAGGGCTTCAATTCTGAATGCCTCAACCTTGCGCGCTATATCCTAAACCTTACACTCTTCGCAAGCCTAAAAAGCCTTGTAGTAGCCTAAGTAGTGTATGGTAGCCCTTGGAGTACCTATATAGTCTCCTTTGTAGTTTCTTTTTGGTTAATTAACCAAAATCTCAATTATAGGATCCTAACCATAAAATTGGTTAACCAAAAACAGGAACTACAATGGAGACTATAGGTAGTGCGTTTACAGCCTTCAAACCCAGAAGCCCTGAACTCGGAAGCCCCCAACGCGAAGCTCCCGAGAGAACTCTTCTCGAGCCCGTAGGGCTGCCCTCTTTAAAGACATCCCTAGACCCCTAGCACTAAACTGGAGAGCCCAAACTTCAAACCCCAAAGGTCGTAGCACTAAAGCGTATATCTAATGCCCCGGGTTTCTCCAAGCTTTGCCTAAACCCTAAACCCTAATAACTAAACCCTGAACCCTAAACCCTGAACCCTGAGAGTTCTTAGGCGGTGTTCGCCGCGCCGCTGCCTCGGCCGCGAAGGCTTGTGTTTTGTTTGTGTACGTGCAGGGTGATGACCCTAAACTATCTGCTATACCTTAAGGACCCTAAACTATGAGAATTATGGTGTGCTTATGGGTATTACAGTATGTGTATATATATATATATATATATATATATATGGTCACCCCCCCCCCCCATGATCCATACCATGGTTTTTTCTACCTCCTGCTGCTCATGCTTCGATTTCTACATGACTTCACCTACATACAAAATCATCGGTATTTGCGGTATTTTCTGCACCTAGCATCTACTTAGCTCTACATGTTGTAATTTGTTCTCACATGTTATATCCCCACGGAACCCGAAACGGATTCTGATTTCACTTTCGGGCTCCGCTCTTCCATCCAAAACCTGGCACTCCATGTTTCAGGAGGCATCACCGGTGGTTGTGCAAAAACTTCAACATGTCGCCGGTCACTGTCGCCATGTTTTGGTGCCGATGCCAATACTCAAACTGGCAGCTTCGAATCTTCCTGGTCATTGCCTGATTGCCTGGAAAGCGTGACACATACTTCAAGTGTGTTCATAATATTATAGTACTAACGCTAATACTACTACTAATACTTATCACAATATTTATACTAACATCAATATTTGCAATAGTATTGATGCTCCTACGAGTACGAATACATAAACTCTCGTGGTGTTAACAATAATGCTATCACCAACACTGATACGGATATTGATAATCTGTTGAATATTCATGAACGCCAGTACTGTTACCAGCATGAACACTTATATTATGGCTAATACGACTATGAATAGTCTTAATTCTAATATCAACA